AAAAAGGTGGATACAATGAAAATGGAATGTCATCGGCGTTTTCTTGTGTGGAAAAGGTCAAGACACACTCAGATTTACAGTATTTTAGGGGGAACACCGGAGCATTGAAAACATCTCAATAGTAAACTGTTTATATTGTATATGATTGGCCCAATAGATTATAGCAGGCAGCTATTGAAAACATACATTTGTACATGTACAAACTCAACTACCCAGAATGAAATCAAGTTGTGTGGTTCTTCTAATACTTTGTAGATTAAATGAGATTAAAAACATTGTTAATTTGTGAAATAAATGTATACAAGTCAAAGGCAGATTGCATAAACAAAGGTCTTTTTTTTCATATTTCAGGTTTCATTCTACATGTTTTGGAAATTATGCAAACGGATTTACAATTTTTTCGTTTGAACACATTTACATCACATCCTTAGCATCACCTAACATATCGTTACAGCCCATGTGACACAGCCTAATTTGCTAACATAATACACAACGTAAAAGCATAATAGATGTCGTGTCTAGGTTTTACTAGATGTACATGACAACAGGTTTAAGAACCAATATAGAAGGCGCCTGCTGAATGGTCTCGAGGTCAATTAGACGCAGTCTTGTTTTGCATAATATATCGTCGAATCTCTCGGATATCATAGATCCTTGCTGTACAAGGGGATATTACATCGACTACCTTAGCACCCATCCCCCTAAAATTGAGAACAATTCACAATGCAGTGGGTGTGTGCCAACAAGCGTTTGCCTCAAGAGGCCAAAAGTATAGTAATTTCTACAAATGAACTTACCTGTACATGGAAGTACATTGGGGAATCTGTTCTTGTTTTTGCAGACAGGTTTCTTGGCTTCCTCACATTTGACTGCCACTGACATTTCATATAGCACCTACATTTTAAAGTGAACAAATTGACAGACAACACACATTACATTGCTTTTTCTCTCTCTAGCTTGGACTTCAATTATGAATCAAATTTTTTTTGGCTGACCTAATCGTTTGCATATTCATTCTTTAGCAAGTGCATGGACAACATAGCCATAATACCAATACAATGGAAATATAAAACTGAGTCTGTGACTGGCCAATCACGAGACCATGTGATAAACGCTGCTCATAATTTGGAATCGCACTTGTGATCCGGACATAAGGAGTGCCCGGAGCATCAGTGTGATACCAAATTATCCGCAGCATTTATCACATGGCTTCATGATTGGCCCGTCTGACGCTGCCCGCCATATGCAACTACAAAAACGGTGTCTGTGATCAGTTTCCAGACCAAAAGGCTCCGACGTCACCCAAACAAGGCTTTATGCGCCTGCACGTTAAAATGTTAAAACTCAAACTGTAGCTTCGGTATGGAAAGAGGACTATTTTCATCGTTTTATTGCACCATCGGGATCGATTCACCCCTTACACTCGTTAGCGATATAGGCCTAAACATATGTCAACAAGTACTGGGCATAGTTCTCGGGGTACAAATATATAGTCATGTTCCCTAATGTGGCGCACTTCGTTGCTTACCCAACTTTCCTCTTGCAGTGTTGCCAAACCTCTTTGTTGATAAACCTCAAATTCATGCAGTGAAATACTGATTCTTTCACCTTATTATTGCTTGCTATTTAACCTGTAAACAATTTCGGTTTCATAAAATTTAATCTGAAATTCAAAAATGGTGATGTCTGGAAATTGGGCACAAATTGGCGGAGTGTTCCCTAACCTGGCACACAAATAAATCTTGGAAAATTCCAAAATAACATTTAAGAATTACTGTAAACTTGATCAATTCTGATAAACAATTATTATTTTAATTGTTATAAATTTTTCTTCTAACTTTGTAAACAAGGTAAATAAACTTGCGATTTATTAACGGGAGTGTTTAGAACTTGATGAAATTTCACTTTCTGTAAAATATAATTTAAAACTCTTACTCTAGGTAGGCGCTAGCCCCATAAATGTGGCCTATTTACTGGACTGCCTCCGTAAACATAGGCCACACTAGTCCGAAAATTTGGGACTCTCAATACTGTGTATGAGAGTCCCAAAACTTAAGGTATCCATATCGTGCAAAACTTTGTGCTGCATGATAAAACCAGTGTGAATCAAATTTGCAAGCTTCTTACTCACTACAGTTTCTTCCATAATCCCCGAAACTTCTGCCTAGCAAAGTTGCTGTTGTGAGCACTACATCACCAAAAATTCAGCTTTTAATTCTAATTTTGCAGAGAGTTATTGAAATCCATACGTGAGACATCACGTTGATGTGTACTGCAATGCATTGTGCAAAAAGACTCCTCAGCTATAACATTTTCATCATGTAGATAAAACAGCGCCCTCTTGTTGATCTGAGTGAATGCAAAATGTTTCATTTTTTAGCAGAGGGCGCTATGTTCATTTGGCACTTGACTAAAAAACAAGCAAGCTGCAAGGCTCTTCCTACACCTACCCAGAATACATTGGGAATCAGACCTACATTTCTAGAGCATGGAGAACGACTTGGGTGGTTTTTGAACTGCCAAAACCTTGCCTTAAAATTGGATTTAAGGTCTCAAATTTCGCAGGTGACATGCTTGCAACTATAGCATTTTGATGTATGTGTTGTGTTGGCATTATTTAGCCAAATGGTGAGTAAAAAAACGTCAGTAGTAATTTTGCACGTTTTTGTGCACTCACGGTCCCAGTCTGGATGTGTGGCCTATGTTTACGGAGGCAGTCCAGTAAATAGGCCACATTTATGGGGCTAGCACTGGCATGTAATTGGTAACAAATTTCCCCGCTAAATCCAACATTGTTGGTGGCATAGGGAAAAATTAATGATGCCCAGACATGAGAATCTTTCCAGTACGCCGAAAGGAAGTATACATTTTGACAAGTAAACAGTCCAGACTTACCTGATAAACAGACCTATGTACCGGTAGCCTACCGCTACATGTTATCTGCCATGTCTGCCGGTGGCGCGGCGCGGCTGCCTGCCGCACATGCATGTCAGGCACGTTAAATGTTGATATCAGGATAACCAAACAACAGGTGGCGCTCTTCACATTTAACGGTGTCAAATACAATCTCGTTTACGTAGTATTGAGCAGTACGCACTGACAGGTACATAATACAGAAAAAAAAGTTACGAATAAAGTTAACCCTGGGGACGAAGTTGCGAAAAAGTTTCGAGGTCCGAATTTTCCCATCATGCATTGAGAAATCCCAAATCCTATCGCGATAGGATTTTGGAAATAGGAATCGTTATTCGTTTTCCGTGTTGCTTTCGAAATAGGAAATTGGAATCGATATTTGTTTTCCGTTTAACTGTCGAATAGGGAAATGGGAATCGTAAGTCGGTTATTCGTTTTCCGTTTAGCTGTCGAATAGGGAAATGGGAATCGTTATTCGTTATTCGTTTTGCTGTCGAGATGGGATTTTAGATTCGAAGTCCGTTATCCTATTTTGCGTGGGAAATTGGAAATAGGTTAGTTATCCGTTGTTCTTTTTGCTTAGGAATTGGGAAATGGTTTCTTTATCCGTTTTTCTTTTTGCTTAGGAATTGGGAAATGGTTTCGTTGTCCGTTTTTCTTTTTGCTTAGGAATTGGGAAATGATTTCGTTATCCTTTTTTTCTTTTTGTTTAGGAATTGGGAAATGATTTCTTCTTTTTTTCTTTTTGCTTAATTAATGAGAATAAAAGGGTTTTGAGATTGTACCGTTAATTGTGAAGAGCGCCGCCTGTTGTTAGATGATATCACCATTAATTGTTGTCGGATCGCGGAGTAGCGCTAGCGCAAGAGACAGGTCATATCGTACTAGTCTGGAGTATTTATTAACACTGTAAAGTTCTAAAAGTATCGAAAAGATAAACAAATATCGTGGTCACCAAAAAAATAATGCTTTTTGGGAATCAACTCAAATGTAAGGCAGCTATTCATGTTGACAAAAAAATAATTTACGGCGATTATGACCACACTAGGCTGTGTGGGCTGGCGTGCGTTTGGTAGTTTTTTATTAAGTCGTATTGTTGCCGAAAGGCCAAACAAAAAATGGTGTGTTTGCGGTAACGGACGATTTGCTGTAATTAAACAACCCGGAAATTTTTGAAATTTAGAAGCTCTCTGGTGCATTTTAGAGCAGATTTGGGGGTCTTTGACTTAAGATTTGTCCTTAAAATTCAGAGGAGATCTTGTAGGTCCCTAATATTTTTGTAATTAAAGAAAAAAAAATCAAAAGGAAGATGTATCGTTTCAAGAAAAGTCTAGTTTTATCCAAATTTAATTAAAACTGGAAGGTTACTAATTAACCCATTGGAAATGGCTGGAAATTTTTATCCCCAGATCCAATAATGTTAATTAGATTTCTTTTGAACAATCCCCACCCCCCAAAAAAAATCATGTTGTATTGCGCTTTTAATTTGAACGCGTTATTGAATTTAAGTTCTTTTCCACTATTGACTTAAAGCCATAAAATAAAAACAGGAATCAACTTTTAAAGAAGAATACTAATAGAAGGGAAAAAGGAATTAAAATTAAAGTTAGTGTGATGTCATTTCATTCAAATACATAAAATGTTTAATTTCTAATAACATATAAACAAAACCTTAAAACGAGAAAGTAATAAAATTAACCCCTGATGATCTTTAAGCAATTTGTAAATACAGGGGCAGTAAAACAATGGCAATGATGCAAATTAGCCAACCCCCTTTTTTTTCTAAACAAAGTTGGAGTTTTGAACTGCTTGCATAAGAAAGATGTTCATAAATCTTGTGTGGTACCATTGGTATCTCATTTACATTTTTGTGCATGAGGTGTCTAAAAATTGCTTAAAATGATCACAGAATGTGTTGCCGTTCTTTCCATGAGGTCTATAGAGAGAGACATGCATTGCCTTGTTGTAGAAGGGGGGGGGGGGGGGGCGCTGCGCTATATACAAATAGATTGTGGAATCTATCAACAAATAGATTATGATTACAGTCAACCAATCACCAATTACAAATAAATGCTTTTACAGGTACATAAGTTTCAAAGAACAAGATTTATTCAAGTGATATAACTGCTCGAAATGAATTAATAAAAACTTTGGAGAGTTGATAGCTTCTGATTGGTTGAGACTCGATCACGTGGGGGTGTATTAACATGTGATATAAAGACCGGCTTCAAAGAACAAGCAAATGAATGGCCCCTGAACCAGCACTGATCCAGCAACATGTAAGCCAATGACTGACCAATGACTGACTACAGCAGCCCTAAGTAGCTTGTAACAGGCGCGCATGCATGGGCGTCGTTAACAGCGGCCATCCCCAAACCTGGTCATTAGCAGTGAAGACCGGGTCATTGCTTTGTCATTCCCTAATTAATGCAATTTACCTGTAAAATAATGTTATTCAATAAAGCATCAACTTTAAAAAGAATTTAATCCATTAATTAACACAATATTCTTTATTAACGAACACAATCAATTGTTAACAATCTACCCAAAGGTTTAACAGTACATGACAAAATCTAAACACAAGGCAGAATAAACCAACAGCAATATATATTAAATATATTTGATGCATTATAATATAATTAATAAGGGAACAAATGTGGGTTTGGGAGGTGTTAAACACTATGTTTTGGACTGGTTGGAGTCTGGATGCTGATAATTGGCCGAGGCGAAGCTGAGGGTAATTATCAGCATTCCAGACTCTAACCAGTCTTAAACATAGTGTTTTATACCGACCAATCACAAATTTATTCCCATTCATAAATACCTTTTCGGTCCAAAAACAAATCTTTGCTGTCTGAACATTTAAAACAAGTCAAAACCTAGACGTTGATAACCATTAGGTTCAACAATTTTACTTCATGTTTTATGAAACACCCTTCTGACTATAATATGGAATGTCGCTCTACAATTCCTTACCTTATAAGGAGATTGGGGCGCGCCTCGCGTGTACTGTGCAATGTCGTGCAAAACGCAGATGGGCTTTTGTAGTGTGAATTTCGGACTATGAAATATTAATTCACTGGTAGTATTGCACATGCCTACATGAGGATTGTGAACATTCAACCAATAAAATGGTAAAAGGCACTGGATTTCATATGAGTCCAAATTTCATGTGACACTGGAAAAGGGTTTAAGACCAGCCAGCCATGTCTTTATCATTCGTTTAAAACCGGCCATGTGACGGGCTTTCGACCAGTGGGAATGGGTAAACTGTCTTAGGTATTCATGAATTCACATTAAATATATTTGAAGTAAATTTCCGAGTGCGAGTATGAATGCGGCATCCGAAGGTCAAGACACAGTCTTGTTTCCAGATTTGTATGAATGATTTTTTGGGGATGATTTTTCATCTGAAACTGGAGCATTAAAAAAAATGATTCTAAAAAGAACGCGAGTGCAGGATTGAAAAGCAATTTAAAGAAATTAACTTCAATACATTTTGCATAAATTATCATACACATTCATTCATGGCAAGATGTTCACCTCTGCAACCAAATTAAAATGACTGACCTCATGAAAATGCCCTTAAAAACATGAATGTGTTCCTAGAATTTAACTAATTATATAATATTGGATGCTTTGAGGTGGATAAAAAAATATATTGCATGAGCTATGACAATATTGCACGAGTCGAAGACGAGTTCAATATTGTCATAGCGAGTGCAATATTCTTGTATCCACCGAAAAAAAGCCATCCAATATTATTATTATTTATATCAGGCTGACTTGATCCGCAAGAAACACAATTTAAGACACTGTCCTCATTTTATCTTTTTCGTCAAACTATTTGAAGATGCCACTGTAATAAAATGTTGACATCAGTGCGCGTATACCTGGCCTTCTGCGCACTGCATGCGCGCTGCATGTGCGCAGCGTTTTCCGTGTTCGATGGTACGCGCGCACGCTACGCTCTGTTGAGTGGTTGTGACTTTCTATGCTCTTGATCATGCAGGAACCAGCGAAAATGCCCGGATGACTGCAATAATAATGTTATTGCAGTCAACCAGGTACTTTATTATCGCAGTCACCGGGTACTTTTTATGAAAGTATACAATGTGCTGATTTATACTTTTATTGCGGGAAGCCTGATATAAATAATAATGTCTAATATTCTTGTATTTTTCAAATAGATATGTAATCACTATATACACACTTTAAAATTATTTTGTTAAAAAGACCATTACAGTTATACATGTGTCACAAGAGCTGAGATACCATTACAACTCACCAATGCAACAATGTGTAAAAATATGAACACTACAATTTGGATACAAGCAGAAATCAAATGAACTTTTTAACCGGTTTATTACCCCATAAATGTTTGTGCACAAATTGCTTGTCATTTTCGTCATCCATATCCAGAATGCATAAAAATATCAGAAGTGTTTATGGATTCACATTAACCTAGCCCCATAAATGTGGCCAATTTACTGGACAAGCTCCGTAAACATAGGCCACACTGCCACATTTGCGTATCAAATTTCACAAAAATTAGACATCTGAAAAAGGCAGCACTTTCTGATTAGCCTCTAAAGAGGGTGAGTATGCTTCTAAAGCAAAAAAAACTACAAACTAAGCCTAAATGTGAAAATCAAAATTTGACAAAGTTCGACACGTTTTTGTACATGTGGCAGTGTGGCCTATGTTTACGGAGGTAGTCCAGTAAATTGGCCACATTTATGGAGCTAACATTAACCCACCTTTTGCAAACATGCAAATTCTGTGCAATATTTGGGTGATCCACAATGCAGTGCACCACCAAGAGTTTGCCACAGACACTTCATTTTTTTCCCAGTGCAGTGGGAGATAGTCAACAAATTCGCAGCGCAGGACATTTGAAATTGTTAGTTTTTCCGGTCAGAAGGTTCATAAGCATATGATTCCAGTATCTGTTTGCCATTTTCTTTTTTTTTTTTTCAATATGGCGTTTTTTGTAAGGCGGCAGAACGCGATGTCACAATCTAACTTTTTTGTCTACTGACACTCATTCAGATGGGCCATTTTTTTGTCAACTGTAAACTTGAAAAATGGACTCTCTATGGCAACTCGACTCTTGGTGGCGCACTGCATTGTGAATCACCTGAATTGTCCTTTCAGTCAAAATCAGTCAAGTGACTGTTTTTAACAGTCAAGAGTTAAAAGCTCCCTGCCAACATAAAGAAGGATTGACTGGCTGTGACTGTTTATTTTACTTGATACAGTTATGCTTTGACTGTAGGTGATTGATAAGACAGCTGTGCCAGCTAGCTGCCTGCTTTTGTCTGCTGACTGAATTTGACTCATCAAAGCACTGGCTTAAAATATCATCCGCCTGTTGGTGACTAGCCTGTGTAAAAGGCATGTCAAAGATGATTGCTTTTGTGACTGTCTGTGACGGTTCAGACAGCAAGAGGGTTAAGGCCAAAAAAATAAGTTTCCGGTTTCTGGTATGGAGCTTGCCCAAAAAGTGGTGCGGCGACGCGGCTTTTTTTTTTTTACCTGATTTTTTTTGCCTCTAAATGTAGGCTGATGACTGCAAATGGTGCCCGACTAGACTTAGTGCAAATATATGGGAGTCCAGAGAGGCCACATACATGTAAAGCTTATTCTCGATCATAACCCCATCTAAAAACACGTTAAAATTGTGCAGCAGCAGGATTCCAGTCAAACCAGTGAGTTTGGCGGTTTTGAGACATCATCATTTATTGAAAAAAAAACCTTTTTCATTTTGCCGACGCGCATGGCTACGGCGACGCGCGCGCATACCAGAAACCGGAGACTTTTTTTTTTGGCCTAATACATAATGCCCTATAGATAAGTCAATGGGCCGTGACAGTTTCACAGGTTTTTGCCATCCATGTGATGTGAAATACACTTCCGGATTGGGTAAATGTTACATTATGGACTAGTATATAAATGAGAAAACTTTTCATAAAATCACTTAATCTCCAGTGAATTAACCCTTAACCATAATAGTCAGAAGACATACGGATATTTCGAAGATACCTTCATGAAGTAATCAGTATTATCTTAATTTATACATTAAGTTATAACCTATTTTCGACTCATTCTTCCCTGCATAACACACACTTGCAGACACATTCCGTAAAAAATTGAGGTAATGTCAGTGTAAAATGTACAATACTGTAAGATATAATAACCCACTCGTGCAAAGTAGGTTTCTGAATGTCAACCCACATCGTGTTAACCCGCAAGGGGCTACATTTACAAATCCCAGGGAAGGAGAATGTACAGACAAATCCGGCAGCAGCGATTTTCTAGGGTGGCACAAGGCTCGTGCAAGTCGCGCTCAGCTCAGGTAGTACACACAGACTCCATTGCTCCTTCAACCAATAGGAATACCAACATTTCGCGTGTACCTCGTCTTTAAAAACGCGTGCACGTCTTTAAGAACATGTGCAGCATGCGCGTGAATGTGACACCATTGAGTAAAAGCTTCTAATTCTGATCGCCGGATTCCACAATAAGCTTTTGTCCGGCTAAAAAATCCAGGCGCCTTGCTTGCACATAGTCCTGAGATGCATAATGCATTGAAACTTCATTATTGAAAATCAGGATCACCAGTAGTTAATTACTCAAACCCGACACACACCCACTTCGTACAACTGTTCTGGAGTCACACCGGGCCAAGGGATACGATGAGGAGTAACTCTAGTTCAATTTCAATAGATTTTCGTTTCGATTTTGATTTTCGTTAACACATTAATTTTCCACTAAATAAAATCTGGTGTCCTTCCAAACAATTGCCAATCTATAGATATATTGTGCGTGTAGTTGCTCCTGACTGTGTGGAACATCAATCTTAATTCAGAACTTCGCGATCATTTTATCTGTCAATATTAGTTTTTCCCCTCCCCCTTTGCCGATCTATAGACACTGTTTACCTCCCTCCTGCTTACTACTCGACCACCACGCTTATGGGATTGGTTGGCTGGATCCCGCAAGCTCGGTGGTCGAGTGGTAAGACGTCTGCACTAGAAAGCAGGAGGTTGCTGGTTCGAGTCCCACCCAGGTCATTTTTTCCAATTTTCACTCGGGAGGTAACAGACTGGGTACAAAGTGTTTATACGCCAGTGAATGGCAGAAAAAACTTAATGTTGATTTATATCATTCGACACAAAATTCCATTTCATAAATACATTTTAATCTGCACAACTCAGACACACCAGTTTGAAAAGGAAGAAAAAAATAATTCCATCCGAAACTGATTCCTGAAAGACTCCTACAGTATCTCATTTCTACTTTGGGATTTGGTAAATCCTTAGTCAGGCTTTCCCTCTTCATGAATGGAGTAGAAGAGCTGGTACACATTACTGAAGGACGACCAGACTTGGTCGGGCTGTATGCTCTGCGGGGGATGGCTGTTGCAGTTCTGGACGTAGCAGCTTGCGATCTTCCTGTTGAAATCGGACGCCTCAGGGTTGACCAAATACTCATCCAGCTGAGCACAAAAACATGTGATATCAGGAAGATTAATCCTAATGATCCCCAACGAGCCAAACTCCAAAACCAGGATTTGTTGGGATCTGTTAGGATGAATACTGCACTAGTAAACTGACTGTACTTTAGGTAGGATTACGCATACCACAAACAAACAGAGTCCAACTTGCGCAATCATTTTTTTTTTTAGGTGGCGTAAGTTGTGGCGTTGCCACTGAAAATGACACATTTTACCAGCAAATCGGGACTGTTGTAGAGCCTGTTATTGGACAACTTAACAAGATTGATCTTTATGGTTGAAGTAAACAAATTTCTATTTTACTCGTAACATAATTGTAGAGTTGCCGAACGATTCTGAAGAAAGTCGGAAAAAATAATTTTCAAAATGGCGGGCTGAGGTGATCCAACGACTTTTTCACGAAAGAACAAATTCACACACAAATAGCTGCCGTAAATGCTGTTTTTATCATCGCCCAAGATGCTTAAATTATTTAAAACGTTGCGCAGCTACGCCAAATTTGGTGAAATCGATCGTGAGTTTATTGCACAACTGCGCAACAAATATGTTGCGTAAGTCTTAATACGCATGGTGAGAGCTAACACTTTTTTGTGAAATCGGCTGCTGGGGAGTTATTGTTAAAAAGTGCAAAATAATCAAAACAAAATACAAAATACATTGAAAACATTTGGGTCTTCCCTAAAGCAGTTATACTTTCACTAGATAAATATTTCAGAGTGGGGTGGGGAGTGTGACACTGATACCTAAAAAACAATGCTGTTTGATTTCTGATAAAATCCCCCAGAGGTGTGAGCTGATTGAACTAGCGAGTACCCGAACAGCATTACTACATATACAATATTCCAATATTGCCTAGGGGGCGCTGTAGAGCAAGGCTGTAGGCCCAGTGGTGTATCCAGTAGGGGGGGGGGCACTTTCCCCTCCCCCCCGGCAGATTTTGTGACAATTTTTGTTTTTGTCAGCAATGATTTGAAGTGTTTATAGAGTTCTTCTGACATCAATCCCACAAAAGAAAACCCGCTCAACAACCATTACAATGCGCCGTGAATTGTCCATATAATAATATAGTATACATAATAATGGTCAGTTTTGAAGAGTGCCCCCAATTGGAAGATGGGTACCAGCCCCCCCCCCTAACTTTTTGATCTTACAGAGGGTAAGTGTCCGGAGAAAAAACATGTCTACATTTCGGCGCGAATGTGCGGTTGCCCCCCAAGCAAGCGTAACTCTGATGTTACTCAAAAAAAGTCTGGTGCACAGCAAGTTTCGATAATTTTTTTCCCAGACAACCATGGCAAATAAATGCACACAAGGCTACAAGAGACATGGTAACCGAATCTGCTTCTGTACAATTTTTCTACAATCGAAAAAAAAATGGAGTTTTTTTTGCATAGCAGTTTTGACACACAAGACACCTAAAAGCACTTCACTGTCCCAAGGCTTTTGGCAAAATGTTATACTTCAATGAACACGATGAATACGATGAATACCAGTACCACATCTATGTGTCAACACAGCAAAATACAAGTGTGTACATGTACAGTGAGCTTTATAACTTAACGTTGTTAAGTTCAACTGCAACTTCCGAGATTGTCATAAACGTAAAACATGCCTTGTTATAAATATTAATAAGAAAATTCCCCAGAAATGACATCGAAAACCTTTTTCATTGTCTGGGAAGTTACTAATAAATTGTAAAGTTGGTTAAAGGTACCCGATCCCATAATCTGGAACCGTTTCCCGACATTTGGGTACTCGGGTACCCGGTTCCATGCACAGCCCTACTCCAGAGTCTTATTAACCACTTGGCGACAGGATTATTTTTTTTCCAAAAATTTAGATTTTCGAAAAAAGCAAAATATAGCAGCCAACTTTTGATTTACAGCCAAATGCCACAAAAACAGATTCCCAAGATTCATTTCAACAGTATATGTACGATATTTCTTACCGCAACCTCATATTTTCCAACACTCTGGGTGTGCTCACAGAGCATAAATTGTACCAAAATGCACAGCGGCCTTGTTCAAGGTGAACACATGGTCCGCTTCCCCAGACTTCTCGGACTTTGTGTGTGATACAAAACAAATGGGGATTAACGTGTTTAGACATCATCTGGAGGCGAGTCTAGGCACGCTGACGTTTTTAATGTCAGCCGTGCCTGTGTATAAAAACAGCCAGATCATGTTTAACAGGTCATCAGACTTGAACTCATTAATGGAAAATTAATACGGAAGGTTTGCCTATCTGAAACCAAAATCTCTGTTTGGGTGGCTCTTAAGAAGATCCTGTTTGGTGCAACTTGCTAGTTTCAAACAGGGGTTGTAGGAGAATACTCACGTCCATCCATTTGCAGTCCTCAATCTCATTAGGGCATACTTCGATCTCATTGGTCAGTGCTCGCATGTGACAGACAAAGTAGATGTCTGATTGGCCAAAGCGGTACCTGTGCTGGTGCCGGAAGCAGAGGATGGAGACGAACTCAGACTCGATGCCGGTCTCCTCCAGAACCTCCCTCTTGGCTGTTTCTGCAAGCTCCTCCCCTAAATGCAAGAAAGAAAAATACTGTGAATAAAACTTGCGTGATCCCCCTGCCATCCTGGCAATTTGTATGTACTGGCAGTTAGTAAGGACAAGTTTCAGTGATGGCTTTTATTGTCCACCCTCACCAGGCAGGTACCAGTTCTCAGTTGAGTGGGGAGTTTAGGTTGAAATGGGGAGTTTTGGTGAGACACGGGACTCGGTGCAGCCTAGTGTCAGTCAGTCTTGGTGTGTTCCCCTTGCCACTGCACCATGTCGAGTCGTTAATAAATGTAGTAGACCTAATACTGACATATGTTCGAGTCATTACTAATACTATTAGAGCTGAGCTCTCCAGAGAACTCTTAAATATCTATATTGGACAGGATTTTTTTGGACGTCGGCCTTTTCTCCATATGTATGGTACCAAACCAGCCAAAACCTGACAAAACCTACTGTTGGAGTTTGATGGACTTGGGGCTGTTAGGGCTAAAATCCAATACTGTGAATCTTGGCACTTGGACTCAAGAAAATCTGAACGTACACATAGGTCCATGAATTATTAACAATCTGACCCACCTATGTCTGAGTGGCCTCCCGGCAGCTTCCACATGGACTTCTTGCCATGGTTATACTTCTCCTTGATGACCAGCAGCTGGTTGTTGTCGTTGGTCACAAAACCACCAACCCCTGTAGTAACAAGAACAGCGCAACTTAATGCAAATCATCTGGATGTCCGTGACCTATCATTTACTGTACTGCTCCCAAAAGGTAACAAACAGGTGAACCACAATAAAACTGTGAATCACAATCGCCTAAGACGGCAAATTGTCCTTTACAGATCACCAGTCAGTCTCTCCAAAATGACTTCAAATGGCTTTCTTATGCGTCTAATTTGCATATCATAATCACGCCCCATTGCATTGCACAATTCGCGGGACGGTTCATGCATTCATGTACCCACTGTGGGTTGAACCACTTTGTACTTGTTAAAGACATCACAGTGTCCCTGTCTTTTACTCCATGTGCTGCCTCAGACCGCCCTGCTTGGTTTCATGAATTCATAAAAGAATAAATGGTATGCAATAAATTGTTGTACAGCTGCTGATGGGTTATTCAAGGTAGTGGTTGTGAGGTGCTGGCATTTTAATTTCCTGAAAAGAAAAGACAATTTTGCATATTTTGCCTTAAGAGAGGGTTTGGGGGTGTGCTCTATACAAATGTCTCAAAGCACGTCACAATCATTACCCCTGTTTATCATGCTGTGAGACCAGTTTGTACAGCTCAAAATCAGTGCAATCTGGTCTCTACCCTCACAGGTACCCATTCATACCTCTGGGTGCAGGGAGGCCATTCGGGTAATGTGTCTTGCCCAAGAACACACAAGGCAATATAAATAACATCAGGGTTGGAACTCACATTAAAGGGAATGTACAACATTTGCTTTTGCTGTAATTTTCAGATATTAATGGATTTATTATTATTATTATTTATGGTTTATTGTTCTATTTGGATTTGGAGGAATAGTATGTTAAAGCAAATATTGTTACACTGACTTGTTTCATGTTTTGGGCTCGTACATGCTGGAAAAACCAAGAAAATCAATCATGTTCTGGTAGTCTGGTTCCCTGACCCCACTTAAGATGAAATAAAGCAATTTATAGACATTTGGGGAATTATAAGGTCAGAGAATCAGTCTAGCCGGCTTGTACCCTTTCACAGGTATGTAATCAATTGCAAAGAAAATGCAGAATAACTAAATATGTAAAATAAGGAGCAGTTTTTTTAAAAAGCCAGTTCTCTCCAACTCTCCAACGCTGGTCAGCCGACCGGCGTTGGAAATTGATACAAAAATACCCCTTTGCTAAAAAAATGTCAGCACACAAGGATTCATGATTGTACGGGATGCTTTAGACTGTCACTCCCTAACAGTCCAGCAAAGAATTTCGTGGTAATTTGATCATTTTGTTTTTTTGATGTTTGCAAATGTTGTATCTTCCCTTTAATCAGACACTGTGACCATGGCTATCTTCAAGTCACAGACTCGTCAAATTTTCTGTGGTCACTAGCTGCTGTTCAAAACTTTTCAGTCAAACTCATTTTCTCCCTATTTCTTTAGGAAATAATAGGAATATGAGACTTGTTCCTACCAATGTAATTTGTGGCGTAGCCCGGAAGTTGATTGGGCTCGTTGCTAGGCAACCATCTTATCATCATGACGTATGATGGCTGTGCATGGTGGAAGACAAACTGGTGCTGAAAGTTAAAACAAAAAAATTAATTAAAAATTTCACCAAAAAAAATGCTGCAAGCAGACAAGGGCTCTGTGTCCTTGAAATATTAAAAAATGTTTCATGATGCTTATATAACGTTAAACCTGGGATATTCAGCTTTCTAATGCTATTTGTCTTATCAGTTTTGCTTTTACCAAGCCAGAGATATGGTCCACAAAAACTCAAATATCAATTTGTGCCACTTTCTAAAGTGTTAGGCCTAATAATGACATGACAAGACATGACACCTGTTCAAGTCCGACTTCAATTGAGGATCGCAATCCCAGAAGATATGTTTTTATTATGATGATTTGGAGAGTGTGTTACAAATAATGAAAAGAACATTACAATATTAATAAAAAAGTGTTTCTTCACTTATTCTAATTGCTTTTCTGCACGATCATACATGTGTATAATACTGGCAATACTGCTGTTTATAGTATCAACTTACGGAAAGTGGCACAAATGGATATTTGAGTGTCTGTGTTCAACGGACCATATCTCTGGTTTGACAAAAGAAAAATTCATAAAACAAATAGTATTTGAAAGCTGAATATCCCAGGTTTACATTATATAAGCATCATGAAACATTTTTCAATATTCAAAGGACAAAGAGCCCGTTTCTGCTTGCAGCATTTTTTGGGACAGGCTGTATGACAAAACGTTCGCCGTCTATTTCTCAATTTTCACCTTCGTGAAATCACCAACTTCAAAATAGGCACACAGTGAAATCTATACAACTAAAAACCTGATAACTCAAAAACCCTAGTAAGAACTTATCCCTGTCAATTGTTGCTGAAAAGAAAATCCATTTGTTAACTCAAAACTCTGCTTCACTAAAAATTTGAGCCCATTCCCCTGAGATTTGACTTATCAAGATTCCAATGTAACTTCGTCCAGGAGGTCTCTGTTTTTAAAACTTAAACAGTCATTTCATTAACAGGAAGATCTACCTTAAAGGAAACATGCAGTCCAAAATTTTCATAACGTATTTTATTTTATATATACATTCATTTATGTTTATTAAATGTGAAATAAAACCAGAACTGGTTCTGGTGTACGTTTAGTGTGGTAATTTGCCGTCCAAAAATTGAACCCCCCCTTTTTGATTTTCGCGGCAACTCCAAATGAGGGCGCTGTTCATGACATAAACAAAGGCAGAGAAATCCAGGGCCCGTAAATGACGTCTGGGTACGAGACGGATTAGCGAAGCTACTGTGCTGTGTGTATGTGCAGCCGCCGCGTACCCGTACGTGGCATTATATGCACACGTACGAATGTGTCTACATGGGATATGTACAGTACACGTGGACGTGCCACGGTGCCACCGTTGTCGAATGAACACGACGACCGTCATGACCGTAAAAGTTCCGAAGACCGTCCTCTTCTTTCCTTAGCGAATCCGATGAAAATGGTACAGATTCGTCCGATTCGAATCTGAGTTCTAATGATTCAGACACTGACTCGATGTTTTTTTAGGGGCATGCCCAAGTTGCTGTAAAGACCAGCATCAAAGCACGACGGCTCAAAGTGCAGCGCAGAGGGCAGCGAACTCACTGGGCCCGGACCACTTTGCTCTGGTATTTACCTTCACTTTGGCTCTCCAAATGCTCCGATATTTCGGATTTACTGGAAATGAAGGCTTACTCCATCCTTGGTAGTTTTGCTACACCCAGCAGCCACACACCTTGTCGGCATGGCCGAAAATCGGGTGTTATTTCTCCTCGATTCCGAACGAAACACCAGAAAAACTTTCAGTGCCGCAATGTATATGTACATGTATTATGATGCACGCCGCAATGCCGGTGCCCCCGCAGCGCGGCAAGTCTCTGCCTCCACTCACGTCATACCCCTCGCGAAGTTTTATGTTAATGAAGCTTCCCTTTGTGGGGCGGAGTAGTTTGACCAAACATGTTTACAAATTATTTTCCCCCATTTATCTTAGAAAATAAACACCGCCATACACAAAATATTGTTAAGAACATCATCCTTTATTGATTTAAGCAAAAAAAATGCAATCAAAATTTTATTTCATGTTCCCTTTAACCCTAACCCCCTAGGCCCTTGTTGCTTACAACTATCCTCAATTCTCCAAAATCCTCCAAAATTTTCCAAAATTTTGCAACTCCGCCTAAATTTTTCAAAATTGTCAGACAGTCCTGCCTCAAAATGCATTCATCCTCAATCCTCCAAAATCCTCCTCATCCCAAAACTTTGCACTCGTGTTTAAATGAAGGATAACCAACGCCAAATCCTTCAAAATCATCAGACAGTCCTGCCTCAAAATGCATTCATCCTCAATCCTCCAAAATCCTCTTGTGCTTCAATCACCATTCATCCTCAATCCTCCAGAATCCTCATTTGATTCAATCACCATTCATCCTCAATCCTCTAGAATCCTCCAAAACCGCCAGGAGGATTTTGGAGGAGTGAGGTGGGTTAGGGTTAAAAATACAATAACACCCAATTTTCAACCAGCTGTCCATAAGAGTCTGTTGTGGACAGAGCACATCAGAAGTTGCGGTTACTAAAACAACACACGCACCTTGACAGCTTCAGGGATAATTTCTGATTCTTGCAGGGAGATCTTCAGCCATATGCCTCTCTTGTGCAGGGACTTCCAATGCTCCAAGGAAGCTGCAACAACAGCGTGGAAACATTTAAGCATCTTAATTAACTTTAGTTAACAAACTGGCACACAATGTACATCACTGGTGTGCATTTACAGGTACTGCGGGAACCGGGTATTCTATTGTGACGACCTACAGTCGTCCCTGTTAATGATGTCATTATTTATAAATAGTTTTGGCATTAAAGCTCCGTGGAGAGCTCCCACTGCACATGCATTTTTGTGCGAGTCACGCCCATTTTCCACAGGTGGAAAATGAGAGCGCCCTCTTGTGACTGACCGTGCAGTGACCACGCTCCCCGTAACTTGCAGCCAATCAGGGATAAGGAAAGAGTAGAACAATCCAATCACAATTATAGGGGCGGGGTTTAGGACAACTAATTGTAAGCATATTTGATTGTAAGTGAGATATAAAGTATGTGTTGAGTTAAATAAACGAGGAGAACTGGTTTAGAGCTGAAACCATGATACATACATGTACGTGTCTGTGTCTCTCTCTCTTGCTGTTGTAGGTTATTCAAATACATGTACATGCAGTGTAAGTGATGATTTCTAGTCTGCACTACCTGACTACTAAGCAGGGAGATTGGAATCGGCACTGTCGCCACGCTACCCAATGACAGACCGGTGCCGATTCCAACCTGATAAGACTACGAATACCCGCTAATGATAAACTGCTCGGATGACAGCAAAGGTCCGCTACACTATTGAAGTGAAAACATGGGTACCTGGGAACCTCTAAAAGAAACCAACTGCCGAAAACGAGTTGCTGCAATGTTCAGATTGTTCAAAGGTGAATACAATAACACTACCACATCGGTGCATCAAGATACAATGTTTGAGTTGTTAAATGAGAAAACCTGGAAATTTGTTAAAATCCTACAATGATTCCTTTTAAATTTCAAGAAGTATTTTCAATTTAGATCTTTTACTGAGACTTCCGGGTTTGTTCCTGCTTTTTGCACTGAGGTGTAAACTGAACCAAAAATACAGGTAAAAATTGTAAAAGAGAAACTAAATATTACAAAAACATATTCGAAGAGCACTAAATCTTTGCTACCGGTATGTTCTGAATGTTAACTGTCCACAACCATGGCTTTTAATTATTACATGTATGTGCTCATTTTACATACAGGGTGAGTTAAAAAAAAAAAAAAAAAAAACGAACCCAAACCCAAAGAAATGTTCATATTTTAAAAAAAACATGTAGCACCAAAAATAATTTTGACTAGTAAGCCAATATAATTAACTACTTTTAGTTGAAAATAATACTTCAATTATTCAATTCATTCAAATTGAATATCACCCTTTAAACGATCCGAAATGACCAAAAATCGGATTTGTCCAAAAAAAAAGAATTGTCCTTACAATTGGTTTCCAAAAACCTCAGTTTAAAAGTTGAAAATATTCAACAAAGTCCTTTTGAAGGCCCATCTTAACCCTGAAAGGGCCTGGGGGGGGGGGGGCTGCCCCCCCCCTCAACTTTTTCCGCGATAACCTTGAAAAAATTGTTTCGCGACCCGAGATGTTGAGACTTTTTAGCCTCGCGGTTTGCGCATCTTTTGATACCAAGAACATAAAAATCAGACCACAGATTGCCATGCAGCGAAAACTTTTCCGGCGCTACGCGCTGTGAAAACTGAATTTTCCTATATAGTGTACGTCATGTACACAGAGAAGAATTGCCATTCGTATATGAATAATTAATTATCCATTATTCCAAAACCCTTTGACCTACACTCATGAATTTTTTTGGGTATATTTATAAAGAGTTGCTCTGTTCATGTACTGAATTTCAAAAATGTTCGTCACTCGATGGCCGAGATCATAGGGAGGGGGGGGGGGGGCAGCACCGGCTGAGAGATGGTCAAAATAACCCGGCCCTTTTAGGGTTACAAAAAAAAACGGGATTTTATAAATCCTACACTGCATACTACAGTTGTTTAAACAATTAAATATTCGGTGTCATTTTCTTTGTTGTTCCAAAGGAAACTAATTTTAGAGGGTTACATTGTTTAAATAATGATTACTTTAATAAGGATAATTTTAATCTGTAGAGCAATTGAAATACTTTTCTCACCTATTAGTTTGATAAATGGGATTCCCAGTCATAATTAATTTTTGTGCTATAACTTTGCTTTATATGAAATATGAGTCACAACAGCAGAACCCAAACCCCCAAAAATATGTTTCATATTAAAAACAAATTATGTAGCACCAAAAAGAATGACTGGAAAGTCAATTGAATAAGCTACTTTTAGATGAAAAAAAATTATGCAATTGCTCAATCCGTTGAAAGTGCCGCTTTATTTTACTCGCCTAACATACTACACATGCTTCATTCACACCATTCATTGAAACTAATCTGTCAGTTCCATTAAAACACCTTAGCCTTGCACATTAATAGATTTTCCCAGTCCATTGCAAGGGGCTTGTATACATTCATGACCTTGCCCTAGGTCAACTGCTCACTGCTTGACCATTGCTTGACCACTGCACTGGCCAACAGCTGTATGCAAATGACCATTGTATGTTAATGCCTAATAAATACAGGGTGCCTAAATATTTGTACATCACATAGTGTAATAATCTTACGCTGTACTAACAAAGTATTTGCCTGAAGATAACACTATGATAAGAATTACACAATTTCCTTGCCATATTATGCCACTATTAATATTATGCTCCATCTTCCTAATTTCTGTCTTAACATGGATAAAACTGACATGGCCAATAACCAATGCAATCATTGTTTTATTATTTCTCAAATTGTTTAAACAACAAATCAAAATGTTCAGAAAAGACACACAAAAACAAAAAAAGCTTGTAATGTTCACGAAAAAAATGGTTATTTCCTACATGTACATGTATATTCAACTTCCAGTGTACATATTATTGGCTGTTTTGGCAACCAGCCTAAACAGCCTTTTGTTTCATTAAGATTTGTTTTTTATTCTTTATTTTTCCTTTTCAGTCATCGGCCCATAGCATTTGTACACGTTTTTTTGTTACAGGCACTTTGGCCACTAAAATCAATCTGATTGCCTTTATACCTGGCACACACTTAGACCACCACCCACAGATGGTCGCCGAACATTGACGTCATCATGACGTCATCATGACGTCATCACGGGTCACATTAAAAATGCATATATTTTGAATGCCTATATCTACAGAACTACAGGTTCGATTGGGGTGAAAGTTCATTTGTACCTAAACCGGGATGTGTTATAGATGAAAATTGAAGTAACGTCACAATGACGTCATCATGGGTCACGTAATGTCACGTTAAAGATTAATAGATCAAATCTTTGAAAATCAATATAAAATAAACCGTGAGCGACCTGAACTTGATGTTTGCAGGAATGGATAGAATAATCCAGGGTCTTCAAATTTTGATATTATGTGCAAAATCACGTGACCCTTCCTTCCGGTTGAAACCGGAATTGCCTTGTAATTTAAAATTGGTGAAAGATGTGAACTTGCTTTTAACGATGTATGTTCTGGCTAAGTTGTTCTTTACCATAAAATTATAGTTACAGATGAAAATTTGTGACGTCATCATGACATCATCACGTGACATGTGATGTCATAATTCAAAACCCTGTGAGAATGTAATCACACATTATGCCACCATTTATTATAAACAGAACTAAATCTTTCCTTGGTGTACCTTATACTCGAAACTTTACATGTCACATGTCATAAAAAGTTACCGAAACAGCCCTGTGTTTGTCCACAAACATAAGTCTAGTTACTATAAACAGAACTAAATCCTTCCTGGATGGAACTTATACTTGAAACTTTACATGTCACATGTCACAAACAGTTACCGAAACAGCCCTGTGTTGGTCCACAAACATAAGAGTATAGGCCTAGTTTGTTTATTTGTTTTGTTCTTTGAGGACCAAATTAAGGCATTGGCAAAAATGAAAAAAGGGGCACCTCGAATTCCAAACATCACTTTGAAAAGACAAAAAAAAAATTGGGGATGCTGATATGGATAAATGATGGATGCTGTTAATTCCCTTTGCCTTAGGACTGGTCTTAAACATAGTGTTTAACACCTCCCAAGGACATATTTATTCCCTTATTAATAAACTGTTAATAAGCTTAATGAGATCACACCTTCGAGTCTCTTGCTGAAGTCCTGGGCAGAACTCCACTGTTCATTGGACGTCGTGACCTTCACACCACCAAAGCTGTCATCTACGCCTCTCAGTAGATAATTAGAATTCTCAATCAGGCTGCCGTTTGGAACTGGGCATAGGATAAACAGGAAATGGTGCAAATCATAAAATCTTCATCTGCAAAAGATTTTTGTTTTTCAGCAATCTGACAAATAGCATTATAGCGCCACCAGAAGTTTGCCATGGAGAGTCCATTTTTCAAGTTTACAGTTGACAATCACGGCCCATTTGAATGAGTTTCAGTAGACAACTTGGGCTTCATTTGTTATAGATTGGGCATATCGTTCTGCCGCCTTACAAAAAACACCATATTGTTAAAAAGAAAGGAAAAAGGCAAACGGATACTCGAATCATGCGCTTACAAAAGTACTGACCGGTAAAACTAACAATTTCAAATGTCCCGCGCTGCAAATTTGTTGACCATCTCCCACAATGCACTGGAAAAAATGAAGTCTCCGTGGCAAACTCTTGGTGGCGCACTGCATTGTGAATCACCCGAATTGATTGTTGGGTCACTTCAAATACGAACAATTATGCAAGTTGCCAAGCAATGATCGACCAATAAAAAAAGGCGACTTTTAAGGTCAGCTTAGGCTATTAGCATAATGAGCACCACCCCCAAAACCTCACATGGACGATTGGACCAAGGCGTTTGTCTAGATGCTAATGATTTGCATATGAATAGTGGTTGCATGAGGTTGCTGTTCACGCTGTATTTTTACATGCACTGCTGCAATGTAGCGATCAGCAGTCAGTGCGCGGTGAGGATATGCCGCCGAATACCTCGTACTTGTACCCCCCGCCCTGCAAACGGGACCTTGGGATATGCTGATGAATTCACGCTCTGATTGGACAGATTTTTTTGTGACCTGTGACCTGCAGTCATCACGGCCACAACTCGGCAAGGTTAAAACGGCCGTTAAGACTGAGTCATCACTCTTTTAGTCCCATTCATAAATGCTTTATTTCATTGAAAGGCATTAAACTAATAACGAAGGAAAATCTGTAGAAAACGTATCTGTTTTGTAAATTTTCAATTCTCGTCAATTGCTCAGGCTCCGTTTCGAATTCACGATGGGTCAGATTGGATAAAATGCGACGCTCAAAATTTGTCCACAGGGTCCGCAATGAAATGGAAATCACATCTGGTATGGAATGTGCGTATTTCTATGGTAACATTTTCGGATAGCATTTGCACGCATTGGCTATTACTGCGGTCTTAAACAGCTGCAGCTGGATGCTTTATACATAGGTCATAGGCCACTTCCTTCACAAGATTCTGTGAAGCTCATCAGCATATCTCAGCACCCTGTTTGCAGGGCAGTGGGTACGAGCGAACTGAATACCGTACGGACGGATAACGACAAACGCCTTGAAAACATTCCATACTGGGCCACCACTTACCTGCCGCCAAACACATACATTTTCACCCCACCTTGTGATTTCACCCAAGATGAATCCAAGAAGCCTCGGCAATGTGAAATTTTTACGGTACGTTATACGCATGACATCGACTACCATAACAACGCATGAGCCGGCCAATGATAGTGCAATACGTCATAATGAATATTTAATTTCTCACAAACATTTAGTTTATTTCAAAGGATACTTTAAATATGTCCAAAGATTGATCTGCAAAGCGATCGTGCGCGTACACGGCCTAGCGGTAAAAGTCTCGTGTTTCAAGCAAGTGTCAGAGGCTTGAATCTCGATGAAGTAAGTGACTGATTAATAAATAGGAATAAAGGATAGGAGAGGGTGAGAGTAGGAGGGAAAGTGGAGGGAATAACCATAAAGGATGCTAGTCCGAGTAACTAGGACTCTACGAATCGCCTTTTTTAACATTTGGAGATGGTCCGACGATAGTAGGGTCCTAGGATCTTAGAGTATATGGCGATACCAATAACCTATTTTGACCATTTTCACTCGTACCCCCCAGTGCGTGAAATTACAGTCGGACATTGGACATTTTCCGACCACTTTCATGGTTTGTCCGACCAAATGCAGATGTGCTCGGACAAAATGTCCGAGCGATTTACAGTATTCTTTGTGGAGTTGTCTTTTTCAGAAGTATGAAATAAACGCTTGCACTCAAAAGTATTTTGTTGTTTATTTCCGATGATCCGGTCTGTAATACTTACCGTATGCTGAGCGGCTGCTAACTACATGTACGTGTTGTCTTATATTCACGCAATAGATGCAACGCGTTTACACCCCAATCATTACACAGTCTAGTACAGCGCGGCGTGCACAGCGATAGATTGGCATTCGTACGTACGTGCCGTTTGCCAAAAAATAGACGTGAAATCAAGTCGATAAATTGTGTTTCGATCAGCAGTCTTCGTGTTTCGTCTACAAATCAGTTAATACAACTTTTTGTACTTTTCAAGTCATTTTATGGAAATGAGCAGTGGCCGTTTGTGGAATTCCCAGTTAATTCCCAGGCGCATGGCTAGCCAGCGCGACTCCTAGGCGTACCGCGAACTTACACAGCACTCTTCATCAGGAAACAGTCGTCGGCGCGGCGCAGGGGAATCTGCCGTGCATGCAGTGCATTGTGCGCAAGCGCGCCGTCACGACCTTTGCATGAGGTCGAGGTCAGACACCATTACCCAATTGGGAACGCGTACACACACTGATCTCTATATAAAGACTGGATAGCGGATATGCATACAACATTCACACAGTAGACTTTGCATATTGACCAATTCGCCCCCGGTCTCACGAAGATGGCCGCGTATATACAAACGTTCTACGCGTAAATACGCGCGCGTTGTATCAACAGTTGACGCGCATTTTGGTCACGTACACATATTATGATGTTCTAAAAGGGACACATTTCCGTAGTGATTATTATTTCAAAACGCCGAAAAAGTGATATTTGCGGCATTTTAGTAACCACGACATTAGAAAAACTGTAGTTAACCTTGGTCAGTGGTGGTGGTCAAAATATAAGTCAAGTGAACCGCGACGTTACAAAATAAATCATGCTGTCTATAAAAACGGCAACTTGTCCTTTGTAGATCACCAGCCGGTCTCACCAATATGGCGTCAAATTCGTACATTGTGCGGCTCTGTATTAGCTATCCAGTCTTTATATAGAGATCAGTGCGTACACACAGCGTATCATGCAGTTTTGAACGTGAGCACAACAACGACAACCTACATGTAGGCAGAGGGGGTCTTCAGAATTGAACAGAAAATTTCACTTTTCTTCCGGATCGTAAGTAAACTTAAGTACAACCATCTTAATCATCGATGTCTACTTTGACAAAATAAAAAAAAAAAACATGTTTAGCGTCCTGCTTTTTTGACAAAAAGGAAGGAGGAGGCCCTTTTTTTTTTTTTTTTTTTTTCAAAATGGCCGCCCGACACATTTTTCAAGACAACGCGGCCGGGCTATTTTTCAAGATGGTTACCAGCTTTTTTCAAAATGGCTGCCACTTGGACTCAGGAAATGACATATTGGCTTCTTATGGGCAAGATGCAACAGAAAATGAGACCAAAATGATCGTTAGACCAAAAGAGATCGTTAAAATTTATCAATTTTTGTCTTTAAAAAAAAAAAAAAAAAAAAAAAAAAAAAGGAGGCGGCCTCTAAAAAGGAAGCGGGCGGGGACGCTAAACATGTTTGTTTTTTTACTTCGCCTTGTACTTCAGGTGGCATATCTAGTAATTTGGAGGCCGTTTTGAAGGTGAAATCTGATGTTTTTTGTTGGAAAATGTTGGTTTGGGACAGTGACAAGATGATGTTGTCCAGGTCGCGGTATTAGCTTGGACCCCACTATCGCCAGACCATGTCCAAAATGTTAAAAAAGGCGATAAGTTGGGTCCAAGTTACTCGGACTATAACAGTCCTGCAGTAGCTTGTAACAATAGAGCACTGCACATGCGCTCAACCCCAATCGAGTGAGACTGACGTGCGCGAACGCAACACAGTTGCTAGGGATGCGTGCGTGCGCGCGTGTAAGGAAGTTTTGAAACGACATTGTACAGCAGTGCAGTATATACTGAGGATGTTTACGACGAAAGCGTAGATCTACGATTTATTTTCTCAGTCATGTCAGTTGAACACTTCACCCACCGACATATTTACCTTTCCTAAACAAAGCATCTTTGTAATTCTGGACACAAGGAATGTGTAAACGAGATTTCAGCTTCCTCCCTCAGGTAAAGATATGAAAACATTGTTGTAATTGTTTCGCTACGGCAGCAGTTTCTGTTGAGTTTATGTCATTATAGCTGTTTAGCCCCACTAGTGTGGCCGTCGGTATGCTGCGCTGAACCTAAGGCCACACACCGTGGTCCGCGCACTACTGAGGACGTTTTCATAAAATTTGCATACTGAGGACGTTTTCATAAAATTTGCAAGGAATTTCTTACATATGGTTGTACTCTACGATGTCCCATCTATCACTTCTGGGATGCTTAGGTGTAATGATGTTCAATTTTGTGACGGCTGTTTGCTGTACCATGCATTTATCGTCTGGGGGCCACGTGCACTGATCTCTATTCAGGATCTACGGCACAGGAAACAGCCGTCGCATTTGCAACTCGCGCCCTCGCTCGACAAACAATTTGCATAAACGCGACGTCACAGCTTGAGGTCATCATCACCGGACGCTTCACGAGTGCATATGGGCTCCAGAAAGATTCAAGAATATCTCGGAAAATTGAACATCATTACACCTAAGCATCCCAGAAGTGATAGATGGGACATCGTAGAATACAACCATATGTAAGAAATTCCCTGCAAATTTTATGAAAACGTCCTCAGTAGTGTGCGGACCACGGTGTGTGGCCTTAGGTTCAGCGCAGCATACAGACGGCCACACTAGTGGGGCTATATAGCTGTTAAAGGGAATATACAACATTTGCAAACATCGAAAAAAAGAACTACCAAGTTTTTGCGAAATACCTTAATAGGATGTTGGTAAATGACAGCCTGAAGCATCCTGTAAAATTATGGCACCTGGTATACTGTCATTTTCAAGAAAAGTGGTATTTTTGTATCAATTTCCAACGCTGATCGGCCGATCAGCGTTGGAAACAACTGGCTTTTTTTCAAATACTGGCCCCAATTGACCATTGCACTTGTTTGCAATCGATTACAAACCTATGAACGGGTACGAGCCAGCTAGACTGGTTCCCTGACCTTACAATTCCCCAATGTATGTAAACTGCTCTGTTTCTTCTTATATGGAGTCAGGGAACCAGACTACAGGAAAATGATCGTTTTTCTTGGTTTTTATAGCATTTTCGAACCCAAAACCTCCAAAAAGTCAGTGCAACTATATTTGCTTTATATTTCCAACCCCCCAATTCCATCCATTTCTGAAAATTACAGCAAAAGCAAATGATGTATATTCCCTTTAAGCTAAAATATGGCCATGAACATGAACACAAAAAAGTCTGGAAATATCGCCAGAAAAAAGACACAAAATTGGAGCATTTTAACCGTTTATTTCGTTAAAAAGGTATTTATTAATGGGAATAACAGTGTGAGGATCCGGTCTTCACTGCGTGATAATGTTAATGACCGGGTGTGGGGGTGACCGCTGTTAATGCAATAATGGACCTCGACTTTGTCTCGGTCCATTAACAGCGGTCACCCCCACACCCGGTCATTATCACGCAGTGAAGACCGGCTCCTCACACTGTTATTCCCTTATTATTATATGCTTATTATTTTATTAAATTAAATAAAACACTTCGCAACAAAAAAACCCAAAACTTACCAGCGGTTGAATCCATCTTTATTTTCCACTGTTTAGAAAAATGCACAAATAGAGGTCACTTTGTCAATGACAGAAATTATGCCATCAGGTTCTTCAGTTCCCGTCTTTTTCTTCGTTCAGACGTCACTCTTTGTCTAAGATCCAAGAACTAAAGAACTTCTGTTTGCACATGTGCACAGCTCTGCGAGATTCAGTACAGTTTTGTTTACATACAAATTACAAGTCCATTTTCCACACCACCAACGTAGTTTTACAGCCAGCGATAAACCATGCAACTGTAGCAGTTGGGTTTGCTAATTAATAGCGTCCAGACAGCGATATCTGGAGCAAGGCCACAAGAAATAAAACTCTCAAAACACGGAGATTCAAAACAAGCGTGATTCACACCATTGAACGTCGCAGCTGTTCGAGGTTTTGCAATGTCAAAACAAAACAATGGCAGCTGTCAAGAGAGGGCGCTCGTCAGTGCTCCAGTTTTCTTATTAAAGGGGCAGTCGTATGATAGTGAGAGAAATGAAAGGAAATACGGTTTATTGTGTTCAGTTTTTAAAGAAAAACAGAAACGTGTTTAATTTTTCAAATTTAATGTGGTTTCGAGATCTTCCTAAAAAAATTATGTCTTTGCAATTCACCGACTCGGCAATAACATTTCAATGATTTTTCAACTTTTCTTAAATGAAGAAGTTCAAAACAAATCAAAAAGTTTCAAGTCAGATAAAAAAAAAAAGTTGCAGAGATTGGTCAAACATAAAGATTGTCCAAAAATAATTTATGTTTGCAAATTTCATTTCACACCATAGTCACTTATTTAAACAACTTGTAGACAATTTAGACAACTGATTTTTTTTCTCATTATTTTGAAGTGCAAACTGGTCAGATAGTGGATTGTTATCATGCAGATGTATGTTAATTAAACAGGACTGTCTCTACCACATTCGAAGTTCAAATCATTAATGGAGGGACTGGGAGCCAGTCTAGACTATAAGTACTTAACTTTCCGACCCTTAATTATCTCTAGAGGGCGCCCTTTAACATTTACGGTGATTTTAGATCAATAATTTGACTTCTTTGAGCAGACCAAGAAAAACAAACTTTATCTATTGATTGGATTGGTCGTGACATAAGACACAAATCTTTCTACACAAATCATCAAACAAAAATAATATAACAAAAACAATGTTAGCTTGAAAAATTCAAGCACATTTTCTCTCAAAAGAGGGCGCCCTACACAAATGGTGGTCGCCATCTCATCTTTTTTTTTTTTTAAGAAAAAGAAAAAACAAAACCATTTTGTTTTTGGAAGCAAACACCAAAAAGAAAAACAGAACCCATTTTCCTTTTTGGAAGAGAAAAACAAAACACGAGAAAAAAAAACTATTTTCCGTTTTGGAAGCAAAAGCCAAGGCCTGTTTCGAAGCAAAAACCAAAAACAAAACCCATTTTTCGTTTTGCACAACAAAAACGACAAACGAAAAACGAGGTGCATGATGAGAGATTCAGAACTGAGCCCTTTTCAACATATCATCCCCAGGGCTCACTTTATTTCCAACTTCGTTTCCCACATTATGTAGTGGTGACAGCGTACTGCTCCACACCGTGAAAACGAGGTTGGACTAGATGGTAGGGGCACACCACGACAAAAGGGCCTCGCTGATTGGTCTAACGCCAGTAAATAGGCTTAAATCCATCCGCCAAGCTCATTTATAAAAGTTATAGGGCCTACCCTCAAAATAGTCTATATTACAGAGTTCTGAGAGCCAGAAAATTGGAGAATTGAAAAGATATGAACTTCGATCGGGTCCGGACTTGGGGTTCCAATTCTGAGCGTTTTGGGCTCGAAAGTGGCACTATTTTGCCATGTTGTGGAGGGATTGTTTTTCAAAATGGCTACTTTTCCGCTTTGGGAAAAATCTGAATGCAATCATAGGCTCTTTCGCCAAAATGCTGAAACAGCCAATCGGTCATTTTTAAATACTGTTTGATACTTGATAGCCAATAAAAAAAAAAACCCAGTTACACATAACAAATCTCCGCGTTAATTTCTGCTAGGATTGGCAATACGTGAATGTGGGTATAATTTTTTACAACATAGAAATCGAAATTTCCATTTTCAATTGAGCTTGTTAAAAACCTTAATTTCATCATCACAAATGTTGCTTTATTGTTTACTTAGAAGATAAAATATATATTATTTATTTGTGTCCTTATATTCCTATTCTATTTGACATCGTATTCATTTATTGATATTTGAAAGCAATTCATTTATGACTATTCATTTTTTTGTATGAAGTAATTCAAATGTTTTGTTATAATTTGTCCTCTATTGTAAATCATTCACAATTCAGACTTTGGGCTGCGACGAATCGATAATAAAACCCTTGAACTGAATTGAAATTTGAATTGAAATGAAATTTGAATTGAAATTGAAATTTGAATTGAAATTTGAATTGAAATTGAAAATTGAATTGAAATTTGAGTTAGAGTGAATTGAATTGAATTGAATACATGTATTCAAAACTTTCAGAAGCCTATTATAATTGTTGGCTAAACCATATCTTTTCTGAATACATGTATACACTGTATACGACATCATCCAAGGATATGCTTAGTGCCAAATTATCGTAAAGTTGTTTTTATTTCAACGCTGTTCTGGAGAAAATACAAAAAGATTTGTTCAACCTGTGCAATGTTTTTACTAGTACTATATATAACAAGGTTTCATTACTGAAAACATCAACAGTCATTATTTTCTCTTTTTTAATAATCTTTTAAACCTTCCTTTTGAAAACATGGGAAAGGCAGTTCTAGTAAACTTCAAATCTAGGAAAAAACTCCAGACGTACAGACGGAGCAGTTTTACAACTACAAATTTTTTTCCCACAGAGATAGAATCTTTAAATCCCCAACTTATGATCTAACAAAAGTTTCAACTTTTTAAACACCACCTAGATTTAACAGGCTTGGTTTTTGAAACCAAACTGTATGCATACTTCTACACAAAGCCATGTTTCATCATGAATAGTAAACAGTTATTCATATTACCCCTACTATTTTTGAAACCAAAACCTTATTCATACAATCTACATATTCATGTTTTCATAATGAATAGTAAACAGTTATGTAAATTACCCCTACTATTAATTGAAACCAAAACTTATGCACTCTGCATATTCATGTTTCATCATGAATAGTAAACAGTTATGCAAATTACCCTTTCAGGCTGCAACAGTTATAGAACATTGCACAGTGATTTGTAACGATCTGAAAATAATAGAGTAAGAAGAAAGAAATGAATATTTATATGTAACAACTCGGTAGAAAACAAAAGCAATAATGTAGAAGGGAAGCCAAAGTAAGTTTCATTAAACTCCAAAACCTTAACGAAAACGAATGTCCACAGTTAGATGTGGATAAACTGCTGAAGAAGCACTTCCCAATAATTTTATTTGTTCTAACAAGCACCCTCCTATATTTTAACTCTGAGAAAATACCTAATCAATCTGAGTAATTAGTCATTTGTTGCATTGATTTGTTCAAGAAAACAATCTTTATTTACATAAGCAAGAATTATTTGTTGGGCATGGTCAAGTACAATGAAGTTTAATTTTGTTTTAATTTAAATCTTTCTTGGTTTATTTTAATTTTTGAAAATCACAATTTTAATTATGATAGAGGCCAATAAACTTTCCAAATGCGTGGGATTAACGAACAAGTCCGTTGGAGTTTATTGCAATTTTTTTTTCTTTTTCTTCATGTTCTTTTTCGTCAAATGAAACAAAATAAACTAATATGAAACTTAACAGCTCTGAGTAAAATGAAACCAAATAAACGAAAAATCAAAACATATAACTATTCTTATAAAAACACAAATAATGATTTTTATGTAAATTTACAAGGTAGAGTATATATGAATAAATAAATAACACTTTTTTTTCCACCTTATAGAAATCATACAAACAAAAGACACCCCTTGAAAAAAACCAATCCTTTAAATTTAAGTAGGTGTACTATGGAACGCTTAATTTGAGTAGGAAATGTATATTTTTATTGTGATGGCAAGCTTTGAAGAAATAAACTATTTAACAATTATTGACTGCTGTGATGTGGGATATACTGTTTATGTGCCCCGAGGGAGTTAAAAACGACATATCCCACATCACAGCAGTCAACAATTGTTGTGACTTTCTATGCAAGAAATTAATTATATCAGCGCGATGTATTAAACCCTTGATAACTGCAGGCTTTCTGCCCGACATGGGACTGAGCGGTTACGCATTACATGAGTTCTCAGTCTTGAGCGCGTGTGCAGGTTGCTACAACTGATAATGTAGTAACCAAGGGATAAGATATCTCCAACCGATAACGTAACAATTGACCGACACAGTAACACTAACTGATAATGTAACAAAAGTTACCAATAGTGTAGTAGAATGTACTACACTATTAGTCAATATGTTACATTATCACTCCTAACAGATAATGTAACAAAACTTAACTGATAGTGCAGGAACATTTACTACACCATCAGTCAATTGTGATGCGATCAAGCTACATGAGTCGTTTGTCGCCCCTGGTCAAAATTTTTTTTTTTACAGATTTCAAAAGAGCACAATCTGAGCATTACTGCTGTGAAAACCGCATGCTGATACCATCTTTAGTTCACAAATTATGGAAGTTGGAACACCAAGAGATGTGATGTGGTGATGTGATGAAGTGGCCTTGTACCGGTATCTCCTATTTTGGCCTGTATCTCCACATAAAATGTCCCGACAAACGACTCATTTAGCTTGATTGCTTCACAATTGTTGTTACATTATCGGATGATGATACGTTATTCGTTGGTTACTACAATATTGTAACACAGTTGTAACACAGGGTTTACTAGAATCGTTAAAGTTAGGCACTGCTAACTTCACTGGAGTAAAGCAGTTGCAGCAGACTTTTTCTTAAATTTCCTAACAAAGACGACAAAGTTTTGCCAATACTTTGAAATGCATTCAGTGTTTAATAGCAGGGACGATGTTATGGTATGTTACAATGGGCATGCGAAATTAACTTTCGTTCGTTTTTAAATTCCATCAGAAATGACTTAGTCGCTTTATGGGTGACCATATGTGCACTGAAAAACCACATATTGGCTTTGACATGAATGGTTCCCTGCGATGGTCTGGGTTACCAGGGATAGCTGAAGGAACTTTCCATGAATGGAATGATAGGCACCTCTGTGACTGAACAATTCTATTTTTACATACTTTTAGCCGCCACCATCGATTGGTCTGTTTAGAATGACACTGTCTTAGAAGAGGGCAGGGAACCAGCTTATTATATCTACTGACATAAAGGTAGAGTCAGGGCACTAGACTGGCCAGCTTTCATTGGTTGTGGGGTACCAGACATGACTGTACATTTTGGTACCAAGATATCTGCATACACCACTGTGAATATCACAGGGTTACCAGACTACTGACTAAAGGTCTCTCAAACGAAAGTAAAGGAAATGAAGGCCAGTATCTGGGTAATTCTGTAAATTTAGGGTCCAAAGTGCGACTTTTTCCTGCCCAATTACCTTGGCACTTTGCCATTCAAGCATCATTAACCCTAACCTTCCCAAATCCTCCAAATCCTCCAAATCCTCTTTGCAAAATGGAAGATTCTGCAGGATTGAGGCTATATATCAAAAATGTGTGGCTGGTTTTGGAGGATGCACTGTGTCAAGGTCTTGGGCCGGACCTTGTGTCAAGGTCTTGGGCCGGACCTTGTGTTATTTATGCCCAGCCGTGCATAAATTTGGGCCTGGATTATACTTGAAATCCTCCACATTGCTCAAAACGTCACTGGCTCTACCTCAGCATATTGACAGTGATTGCTGGAGGATTTTGCAGGATTGAGGCAGTGGTCACCCCTCTAAGGACCACATTCAAGATATAACAGATGATTTGCAGGATTGAGGCTGTATGCAAGTTTTACCGGAGGCAGTTAAAGGATTGAGGTTGCATCCTAGCAAAAGTGCCTAGGGAGTTAGGGTTAAGAACGATTCACACAAATATTTTGTTTGTTGAGAAGGTAGTCTGCTTTTCGTAATCACTCTTGGAGCAAACCTGCAGTAACCCTCCTATGCAAACATACATTCTGTGCCAAGCTGTCCTTGCAGTCAAAATCAATCAAGTGACTGTTTTCAAACCCTTAAGAATTCCCAGCCCACATTAAGCAGGATTGACTGCCTTGGACTGCAACTTGATACAGCCATGCTTTGACTCCGGGTGAGTGATAAAACAGCTGAGACCACAACTTGCCTGCTTTGTCTGTTGACCCAGTTTGACTAGTCACAGTGCTTGCTTGACATGTGATCTGACTGCTGGTGATTAGCCTTTGTTAAAAGCATAGCAGGAAAGTGAAAGTGAATTTTGATAGTCTGTGACTGCCTAAATAGCAGGAGAGTTAAGCAGTGCATCAAAATGATCAAACCATAGACATCAGATGTAACAGGAACAGGGAAAAAAAGTGGGCCCAAAATCTAAACAATGACCAACCTGGCAATTATCACTAGTACTGCACTATGACGTCACAATTCTCTGGAAGTTAAAAGGACACTGGGTATTACTTTTCACGTCATCTTTGTTCTGTTTTTTTTTGCACTCATGAAGTTGTGTACTCTTATGACATAGTGGAGATGGTTTTGATGATTCTCCTTCAAAACCGTTGGCACCACTATCTCCTAAACAGTTTAGTTCAACTGCAAAATCTTGACGTGACAGTGGTTCTCATGATGTCCTTCAGCTTTTAGTCCAGTGTGATTATTTCATTGTCTTCGAAGTTGTCCACATAGGTTGTGGCGCCCTCAAGCAATGAGCTGCGCACAGCTTGGACGCAGTTGCTTGGAATCATGATACCTGCGTGAGAAATAATGCAAAGCATTTCATTAAAAAAAAAAGAAGAAAAAAGTTGGAAATTGTTGGAAATCCAGCATCTGTTTCGTATGGAATGAGAGCTTTTGTATGGAATGAGCAGTTTTTTGTCTTTATTTTCCATTTTTTTAAAATCAGGGAATGTAAAGTTAACAATACTCCATTTCCTTTGCAAAATATTTGTTGTTGTTGTACATTGGTCTAGTGCGTAAAGCACTCGTGTGCTCGTTGTACTTTGTGTGTGCTTCTGGGTGTAGGAATATAACATTTCGTTTGCCCATGGGGTGATAGTGAAATGGCTCTGTGGCTTAGTTCTATAGGTAAGAAAAAAAGTTGGTAAAAAAATGGTAAAGTCTGGAAATCTGGAAAGTGAAATAAAGGGGAGGAACCACAGGTTAAGGGAGGGGGGAGGGGAAGCGTTTGTGATCCTCCGGACACAAAGTGTCACAGGAGCTGACCGTATCTCCCGCCTTTAAAGGGTTGATTTGCAGGTCCGCAACACCTTCAGGTGATGATGGTGATGCTATGCCCAGCCAACCACTCACACCTCCCACCACCCCGAGAAAATATGTTTTTTATCCTGTTAATTTTGGAATTGCTTGTGACTTGACTAATTTGTCTTGTGATTGTCTTGTGATTGACTTGTGATTGAAATTTGATTGTCTTGCAAGTGGCTTACGATTGATTTGTGATTGACTTGTGTGTCTTGTGATTGTCTTGAAATTGACTTGTGATTGACTTGCGATTTGCTTGCGATTGACTTTTGGACTTGCCATGGACTAGTGATTGCCTTACGACTGACTTGTGATTGACTTGTGATTGTCTTTTGACTGTCATGCAAGTGGCTTACGACTGACTTGCGATTGACTTGTATGATTTGCAATTGACTTGTGATTGACTTATGACTGACTGGCATTGGACTAGTGATAGACATCCGATTGACTCGTGATTGACTTGTGATGGACTTTTACACTCACCCACAATCTTTGATCCGTCGTCAGTCTTAAGGCGAAGTATCTGCATCTTGGAGGCAGGGCCTGGCTGCAAGACTAAGATCTTCTCCACTCGGTCCCAGACGCTCAGCACCGAGCCGGACAGGATGTAGAAGTTGCGCCGTCGCAGGCCGATCTCGCAGGGCAGGCCGGCCAAGACACGCTTACAGCTGTCTCGCCTGGGGTTGGTCAATTTAAAAATATATTGGAGACTTATTTTTGTTCAACCCGATATTATGCAGCCTGTAGCTACAGCAATGCATACCGATCTGTCTCTTATTTTATGATCTTTAAAGGGAATGTACAACATCATTGAGTTTTGCTGTAATTTTCAGAAATGAATTATTTGAGGAGTTAGTATAATAGATCAAATATTGTTGCACTGACATGTTGGGTAGTTTTGTGTTCGAAAATGCTGGAAAAATCAGGAAAAACAAAAATGTTCAAGTAGTCTGGTTCCCTGACTCCACTAAAGATGAAATGTATCAATTTATAGATGCCGGAAAATTGTAAGGTGAGGGAACCAGTCTAGTTGGCCTGCACCCGTTCATGAACATGTAACCAATAGCAAACAAAATTTGGTCTGGAAAATGGTACATTTGGCGCAGTAGTAAAAAAACAGTTTTTCCAATGGTGGTCAGCCGACCACCGTTGGAAATGAATACAAAAATACCACTTTTCTTGAAAATGACTTCACACCAGGTGCCATAATTTTACAGGATGCTTTACACTGTCATTTACTAACATACTGGTAAGGTATTTCGTAAAAACTGGGTAGTTATATTTTTCAATGTTTGCAAATGTTGTAGATTCCCTTTTATCTACATCCTGCTTTCTAAAGTAGTCTTAGTCCAAGACAGCATTTAGATTAAGGTTCCCCTCCCAAGTCTAAAACAAGTGCGGCCGAGCCACAGTGGGGTAAAGGGCACCATCAACAATAATGAAATACAGTTTTGGGAATCCTAACACTTGGATAAGAGAAATTCTGAATATACCTTTCATCATTTTGTTTGATAAAATGGACCCAGGGACTTACTGCTGCCACAAACAAATGTGATATTCCACTTTGCGCCGGGATTATTTTGCTGGAAATTTCTATTTTTCGCAAAAGGCAAGATTTTCCAGCCAACATCTGATATACAGCCAAACGCCACAAGTACTGATTCGCAAGGGTAATTTCAACAGTGTTTGTACGATATTTCAATACTCCGGGTGTGCACTGGAGCGTAAATTGTACAACAATTGGCTGTGCACAATGGCCAATTCAAGATCAACACAATGTTCGCCTCCACAGACTTCGTGAGTAAGTGTGTACAAAAGACACGAGGGGTTAGCGTGTTTAGATGTCACCCGGAGGTGAGTCAAGGCAATCTTGATGTCTAATTACCCATCAGCTGTGCCTGTGTATAAAAACAGCTGGTGCGTGTTATCACGTCCTCCAACGTGAACTGGTTAAACAGATTGCGTACATGCACACTCTACTTTCCTCGGGCATCTAATAACCTCTCTATGCATTGGAAAAATGCCATTCTTTCACACACACTTAGGAAGATGTTTATAGTAGAGCTGGGTTCTTCTAGCACTCAGGTATGCAACTGCACCATGGATGTTGCTCTACTTAGCGAATGACAGAATGCTTTGTGGTGTGGTACTCAGTGGTTCCTTTCCCTGTCTGTTTTTGATGGACTTGAAGGACCAGCCTAAAGTCCTTTACTGACTGACTAAAGCACTGACTGACTGACTGACTGAGTCATTGAGTATCTAAACTTGAGGCTTTAGCCCTAACCCTCCATGGAATGTTTGCTAGAACCCTGCCAAACGTAGCAATATGCAACACTTGACTAAGTGACAAGTCTGCCAAGTGTAGCAAGATCCATCAGGGGAAAAGTCTCAAGGCCACACTGCCTCAGAGTCTGTGGTCACCGCCGCAGCAGGATAATAATAATAATAACTGTATTTATATAGCGCTTTTTGCCAGAGGATACAAAGCGCTGGGGGAGAATGCAACCAAAGACAGGTAAATGAAGTATATGAACATATGAGACCCATTATGTAGCACCTTTTTTTTGCTAGGTGCTGCGGCGCATAATTGCTGCCACTGCCAGAAACACCGGGGCAAACCCCTCCTCTTAGCGACAAGTGTAACTGGGTTCTTTAACGTGCATTACACAACAGACGGGACCTACGGCTTTACGTCCCATCCGAAGGACGAAGCAATAATGGTAAAGTGCCTTGCTCAAGAGCACAAGCACCATGTTCCCACGGTCAGGATTCGAACCCGTGTACCACGGCACACGAGTCGAACACCATAACCATTGGACCACAGCGCCCCATGGATACACCTGTGGCATTGTTCAATGGGACTTAGCTCTCATTGTTTCAGAGCTGACCATTCACGCACTGGTGTTGGTAGCTGAATGCATCAAAGTGCACCAGTTCTTTTTCACCTGATGCACTGTGTTGCGTCTGGCAGGGTTAGGGTTAAGGTCCAAATCGACCAGGCAAACCAAGTCTTGTTTGGGGTATTCTTTCTCTCAGGTATGCAAATGCTAAATGCAATAAGAAATGAGAACATGATTTACAGTGTACTGAATGCTTCAATTTCTTGTGAATGCAAGTAATCTTACCAGTAAGCATGACTACAGAGGATCTCAGCTGCACTGTACTGGGCCTCCCAGGCTCCCTGTGCTTCATCAGGCATCGTCACCTTGCGGTATTTCTTCCTCACATCGGCAAGGCTTTCCATCTTCCCCTTTGAAGGCAATAACAGGCGAGTGTTAGATCATATTCCACCCCAAATGAGAAATAAGCCTTGACCTTTGACCTTCAGGGTTCAAATCAATAGGTTCTAGAGGACGCAAAGACCAACACACATACCAAGTTTGAAGTTGATTCATGCCACGTCCTTCTCAAATGGTATAATGGGAAAACCACTTCCATTGTCTTAACCATAATAGCCTTAACCTTTGACCTTCAGGTTCAAATCAATAGGCTTCTAGAGGACACCAAGACCAACACACATACCAAGTTTAAGGTTGATTCATTTAGTTAGTTTGTGCTCACCTGCATGCCAATGTTGGGCTTGAACACATTGACCAGATGCTTTTTGATGGCGTTACTGGTGGTGCCATATTTGACTAGCACTGCCGTCCGCTTGTTGTTGGTTGGCTGCAAAACAACGCAAGAAAACGGGAGCTCAATGAAACCATGACTACGCTTAAAGGAAACATGCTGTGGAAATTCAGCTCATCTTGTTTTCATGCACATTACTATGTGTTGCAACAATACCCACAAGATCTTAATACTTGTTTTCATCAGAAGTGACAAGAAAGTGGTAATTTTCAATTATTAGCAAATCGTTTCATCAATACATGTAAGAGGGCGCTACTTTGCTTTTGTCACACAAGGTAATCCTTGTCAAAAAAGTGCATATGAACAGCACAAAAATTAGTCCTTCAAAATTACCCACAAACAATGGTTTTGAAGAAATATTGGCCACTATTATTGTCCAAACAAGCTGTTTAACTTGATAAACAAGTAAAAAGTGGAACTTACTCCAAGAACATGAAGAAAAGTTTGATACATATTTGTGCACAAAGCTATGGAAACACTAATGTTCTGCCTTGAATGACATCATGCTTTGGCTCATGAATATGGAAATTTTCATTAGCATAAAAACTAAAATGTTGAAATTTCCCCCTTTTTCTGCTGCAACGGAGGTGGAAAGTTATAGTTACATGGCAAGAAAGCTGTCTGAAAAGTATTTAAGTCATAAAAATCCTATTACATGTTCCCTTTAATTTTCTGTGTATAAAACAACACAAGGTCGGTGCACAGTAAAATTTTGCATTTGCAAAGTTAAAAACAACACAAATACGAGAGTACAGTGAAATTGTGACTGTGTTATTTTGAAAACAAAACAGTAACACAAGAAAATCGGAATATAGCAAAATTGTGACCATGCTAATTTTGTAAGCAAATTTTACAATCTACAGATCGATTCACGACTTATTGACACCTACCTTTGACTGTCAGCCCCTTAAAGACTTGGAAACCCGCAACATTATTGACATGCTTTATGGTTCTGACATACCTGTGATGTGACGTAGAATCCTTCCTCTGGCTTGGTGAGGGCGCTCCACATATCCAATGCGCTGTCCCACGACAACCCTCTCTCCTGGCTTACCTGCGCAGCAGAAGTAACAAAAAATTTCCATAAAAACCAGCAATAATTGTCAATAAAAAACAGCAACTTTTAGAGTTTGTCCTTGATACAATTATGTAAGTACTTGTATACTCGGCTCCTGAGAGAAAAGCCAAAATTTTGCTGGGGTGAGCAGATTCGGTGATTGATTATGCAAAAAAAAAACTGCGTCTTGACCTCGACATTCTGACCATTCAGCAGGCGCTTTCTATATTGGGTCTCGTCATGGATATCAATAAATAAAACCTAGACATCTTCTTTTTATAGCGTGAATTGAGCAAAAAATGTGGTCATGTACTCTGTATCGATATGTTACGCAATACGCCAATGTTACCCGATACACCAAGCAATGATAGAGCCCCCCAATCACGGTCATGTCTAGGTTTTGTAGATCTATGCGCGCCCGGCCATTGTTGTATTTCAAAAACACTGCATCCGCATCGACCAATCATAATCTTAGTCCAGATTTGGGTATGAAATGATGTCACGATTTAGTAAAGTCAACTCCGATTGGCTGGCACATTGGGTTGCATAAATTTGCATGCTTAGATACATCAGACGTTGGACCGGAGATAGGTCTCAGTGGACAACGGGCAACACTCAGACTACAATCTTGCCTGGATGGGTCAATATCAGGCTTCCCAATGCGTACCTCACATCAAATTATTGACATGTAGATATGTGGGTTAAAATTATCACAATCGTACCTTGTGCAGTTCCGTGTGCACTGTGCCGGTAGAGAACGTCCGCACAAATGTCTGTGTCTGCAGCTTCCTGACCTTCTGACCTTGGTCCATGGATCCAATGTCTACAAGGAAAATGTACGAAAAGCTGCAGAAAATTACGAGGAATACTCAAATTTTGGGGCAGATAAATTCTGAACGAGTGTTAAGACAAATAAACATAGTACAGTGGAACGCTGCTATAACGAGCACCGCGGGATCCACACAATTTGTCCGTAATAGCGATCGTTTGGTATAGCGATTTTAAGGTGGGGGTGGTACTCACTTTTAAATAAATAGCGCCCTTCAGAATTTCACCCTGCATGCCCTGGTACGTGTACATGCAGTTACTGAAAGACGACATTGAATTCATGCCAACAATTGAATTATGTAATTACAAAGTTTTTGAGCTTCTACCTACAGCGATAGGTGGCGTTCCCCTTCTATTCCTTGGAAAAATGATTGCCACTTGTCACTTTCTGTTTATATTTTTCAACAACAATGTTCAGTACCTCAGGTAAAAATCGAGAGCCAAAGACGATGTTCATTATAGCTGAATGTTCGGTATAGCGGTGTTCGGTATAGCGACGTTTCACTGTAGTGTATACCTCCATATATAACAAAAGACAGCTGCTAGGTTAGTTCCGAACTCTTGAAACCATGGTTGCAGGCCGCAACAGATTTCAACAGGAATATACACAAAGGGTTTACTGCTCAATCCAACTGGACCCAGCAGGTATTAGTAAAATAGTTGGATCCTGTTGGAATGAGCAGGGTTAGGGTTAAAAAAATTAAAGAATTTAACGGTTTTCCAGGTGCCAAAATATAGCAATTTCTAGGTTTTTAGGATGCAAAACCGTGCAATATTTCAGCATGAGGTAGCAGAAATATATCGAATTGCTTACCTCACAGTTGGACTAAATAATAATAATACCAGATTCTTACAGCGCAAATATCTACCCACAATTAGGTACTCAAGGTAATTATGTCTATATTTTTTTAAAGACAGGTAAATGAAGTTTATGAGAAATATGAGACCCATTATGTAGCACCTTTATAAGGGTTTACAAGGTGCTGCGGCGCATATTGCAGCCACTGCCAGAAACACCGGGGCAAACCCCTTCTCTTAGCGATAAGTGTTACTGGGTTCTTTAACGTGCATTACACAACACACTGGACCTATGGCTTTACGTCCCATCCAAAGGATGGAGCAATAATGGTCAAGTGCCTTGATCAAGAGCACAAGCACCATGTTCCCGGTCAGGATTCGCATCCATGTACCATGGCACACAAGTCAAACACCAAAACAACTGGACCACAGCACCCCACAAAACAAACTAGTCTATTTTCCTGTCGATGGAAATTCCCCCTATTTGTGGGTCTTTGTCTTCTTACCCAGGATGCCCATGTCGTATTTGCCGTCTCTCTTGGCCTGTTGTACGATGGCCTCCAGGGTGGCAGTGAAGTAGGCAAAGAGTTGGTTCTGCATCTCCACCTCCATGCCCAGGATGCGGTTCAGGAACTTGGACATGTTGTTGAAATCTGTCGGGGATAACCAAAAAATGTTATGCAAAAGTTCCATGTTGTACTAGAAAAAAGAAGAAGTATGTCACAAGCCAATATTGCCAATCAGGCCGGGATTCATCTCCGGTTTCAGTGGCATGAAATGACTGAGAATATGTGTATCCCCACTGGATGGAATGCCAGTCCATCCCAGGATACTCCCCAGCTAATGCCGGTACCCATTTATACTCCTGGGTGGAGAGAGGCAAGTGGGGTGAAGTGGCTTGCCCAAGGACACAACATATGGCCAGCAGCTGGATTTGAACCCCTCACCCACTGATCATGAGTCATGAAGGATGGAGAGGCAAGTGGGGTGAAGTGGCTTGCCCATGGACACAACATATGGCCAGCAGCTGGATTTGAACCCCTCACCCACTGATCATGAGTCCTGAGGGTTGGAGAGACAAGTGGGGTGAAGTGGCTTGCCCAAGGACACAACATATGACCAGCAGCTGGATTCGAACCCATGACCATCTGATCATGAGTCATGAGGGATGGACCAAGGCAAGTGGGATGAAGTGGCTTGCCCATGGACACAACATATGGCCATTTGCACGATTCGAACCCCTGACCCTCTGATCATGAGTCACAAACCCTAACCACTAGGCCACACGACGCAGTAAAGGCACTAGGAACATGCTTTGTTACATTAGTATTACAACACCTTTTCGCCGGGGAAAAATAATGAAAAACGTCCTTCCATCTTTTGAATTCTGTTAGCCCCTTGAAGCAAAATGTATACCAAATGAACGATATCTCAATGCTCTATCGTTTACCCGCAAAACCTTGAATTTTGACCAATTCTTCGCCCTAACGACCTTCTTCCACGCACCTGACAAAATTAACTCTTGTGCTTTCAGGTAATATTTTGCCATTCGGTCTGATTTGCCAATACCCTCCACATGAAAACACACAGAGGGCAGTTTCTTTTATCCAAGCACAACATTTTCACCTTTAACCTCGTAAAACCCTAGAGTTTTCGCATTGCGACAATTCTCTTACCTTTATCGAGTACTGGTACATGGTATCTCTCATCGTAGGCCACCATGCCTACGCCTATGAGGGCCTCCCTCGCATCTGAAAATAGACCAGACAGAAAATACAGTACAACACTTGTATTATGAACACCACTTTTGTAAAGAAAATATTCTTTTAGGCTTCCAATTTATTGTGAACAATACATGGTCAGTACAAACTCTGTGGACCAAATTTTGGCAAATCCACGTCAAGATAAACGCAATCTAGGATATACAGTTGGCTTTCAAACCAATTGGCCTCTTTAATTACGACTTTGCTCTGAACGAATCTGTGGTTTGAACAAAAAATGTCTGGACTTGTTTCGTTGGATTAGGTCATTAACCCTAGCCTTCCCAAATCCTCCAAAATCCTCTTTACAAAATGGTGGATTTTGCAGGGTTGAGGCTATATGGCAATAATGTGAGGTTGATTTTGGAAGATGCACTGTGTCAAGGTCTTGGGCCAGACCTTGTGCTGTTTATGCTCAGCCGTGCATAAATTTAGGCCTACATGTAGATTATACTCGAAACCCTCCGCACTGCTCCAGGATGTCACTGGCTCTGCCTCAACATATTGACAGTGATTGCTGGAGGATTTTGCAGGATTGAGGCAGTGGTCACCCCTCCAAGTGCCACATTCAAGAAATAACTGAGAATTTTGCAGGATTGAGGCTGTAAGCAATTTTTACATGGAGGCTGTAAGCAATTTTGACACGGGAGGCAGTTGGAGGCTTTTGCAGAATTGAGATTACATCCTTGCAAAAATGCCTAGTGAGTTAGGTTTAAAGGGAATATACATCATTTGCTTTTGCTGTTATTTTCAGAAATGGATGGAATTGGGGGGTTGGAAATTAATAGCAAATATAGTTACACTGACTTTTTTGAGGTTTTGGGTTCGAAAATGCTATAAAAACCAAGAAAAACAATCATTTTCCTGCAGTCTGGTTCCCTGACTCCATATAAGAAGAAACAGAACAGTTTACATACATTGGAGAATTGTAAGGTCAGGGAACCAGTCTAGCTGGCTCGTACCCGTTCATAGGTTTGTAATCGATTGCAAACAAGTGCGATGGTCAATTGGGGCCAGTATTTGAAAAAAAAGCCAGTTTTTTCCAACGCTGATCGGCCGATCAGCGTTGGAAATTGATACAAAAATACCACTTTTCTTGAAAATGACAGTATACCAGGTGCAATGATTTTACAGGATGCTTTACACTGTCATTCACTAACAGTCCAGCAAGGTATTTCAAAATGATATGGTAGTTTTATTTTTTGATGTTTGCAAATGTTGTATTTTCCCTTTAATGCAATTTGTGCACAATTGATGCAACTTGAGGGAAATATATGTACCTCTGAGAAAGTGTCCGTGGTAGTCTGCAGGGGGTGGAACCAGTGAACTCTGCAGGTCGACCACTGACTTCATGACCGACTCCAGCGCTGCCCTGCCGTACTGCAACAATAAACAAACATTCACAATTTACAATCTCTGATCTTTCAATGTACAAAATAAGGTATTCATGTACACCACAAATAAAACGCGGCATTTCAAATATTTACTACTGATATAAACCACTATGGTTCAAATTATAAACTTGTCAACAAAAACACTGAATTTGACAATTTAGACTAACTACCATGTTCAGACACACTGTCGATGGTTTTAGGGCCCATGACCATTCAGCCCTGGTATGAAAAGGGCCCCCCGATAAGCTCGTCCCCTCCCAAGAAGTCCTTTCCTACCGTCCCAGCTACCGGCCCAGGAGCTGGTCCGGTTGCTTATCAAGAACTCCTCTATCCTGGGGTCTATTGTTTGCAAGTATTGACACACATAATATATCCCTGAAGAAACTTGCTTGTGGTTTTCATCCTTCAGCGCAAAACAATAGAACACTTTCGTCGGCACAGATCAAAACCACTGCCATGCGGTTTCGCGCACAATGGGTCCGTAAATTACCCAAGAGTTTGGAAGGAGTTTATCTTACTTAATCCGATAAGTTTGCTATTGTTCTGCTCAGAAAAAGTTCTCCGAAGGGCAATAAATTGATGCGCCTGACTGACTTCAAAACTTCTGGTAAGACAGGGCCATGGACGAGACTGGGCTGAAGACCGGACTGGCTCTGGACCGGACGAGGTACCGGGGGGCCCTTTTCATACCAGGGCTGAATGGTCACGGTCCCTTACCTTGTTATCAATGTTGAATATGCTGAGGTCTCTGGTTTCAGTGGCCCGTCTGTCTCCGTGTGTTAAGGCACCCTGCAAATAAAATAGATTTATAACACAATCATTACCTATGAACTACTACCATGACTACTGGCGGTAAACTTCAAGATAAGAACTGCATGTACAATTCTGATTATTTTACACTTATGAAGGCAAGCTTATGAATGTATCTACACTTCATTCCCTGGGGGGGGGGGGGGGGTTCCCGAATAAGAATCATGTGGCATTTCAAGTGGGAAATTCTAGACATCACGAGGTTTGCGACACTCCCCCAACCCTAACCACCCCCAACCCATCAAAATCCAACAATGTGTTTTGTTGGATTCTGTTGGAGTGAGTACTGCACTAGTAAACTGATTATGCTTTACATGTGGTCAGACATACCACCATAATCAGAGCCCAACAGTTTGGGTGTTGAGTTTACCATATGATGTTGGATTTTTGCAGGAGTGAGGAAGGTTCCTAGTAAATCACTCAAGGGGTTAGGGTTAATGGATTCCGTTTCTTGATTCCTCACCATGCTTTCCAATCTCTTGGCGACGATAGAAGCAAATCGTCTCTCTCCAGCCAGCTCTGAGATGAGGAAGATGTACTCAGGGGCGTGGACTTGGTTGGATCGATGCGTCCGACCTAACAAAACAAAACAAATCAGCATTTGTTACTCAACTGACAATACAAGAACCCTAAAAATGGTTACAGTCGTAAAGTTGGCCGGTATTCTTGAATGTATTGCTGCCACATTCCTGGCACTTTACATTGATGCAAAATTCTACACTTTTAGAATAAAATTAGATTTGACTACTTAATGCCTTACACGCATAAACTTATCATCCATGCGATAGTCAATGGTGCATGTGAAATTACACCGTGTGTGATTCTTCATCTGCACGGCTGACACGTAAGAACATGAAGAATTCGGCTCTCGGTAATGAATATGTATCAGGTATATTCATAAATACCTAAGACAGGTTACCCATTGCTATTAGTTGAGAGCCCGTCATGTGGCCGGTCTTGAACGGTTGATAAAACACCGACTGGCTAGACTTAAACACTTTTCCGATGTCACATGAAATTTTGACTTCTCACATAGGCATGCACAATACTACCAGTGAATCGGCATTTCATAGTGCTAAATCCACATAACACCGGCACAGCTGCGTACTGCGCCACATCTCGCCATATCGCGCAGTACACGCCATGGGCGCGCCAATCTCCATATAAGGAGTTGTTTACGACTACTCGCCAGAAGCACATACCATGACATAGCCAGAGGAGTGTTAAAACAAAAACATGAAGTAAAGTTGTGGAACAAAACTGTTGGAACTTTTTACTTGTTTGACTCTGACCGATAAGATACTTATGAATGGGATAAGTATATGCTTGGCCGATACTTAACAAGTCCCGTTTAAGACTGGCTGTAAGCCTGGTCGCCAATAATATGCCTCGCCTTTGGTTCGAGCTAATATTAGCATCTATTTCCCGAGCCGGTCTTAAATGGACTTGTTTAAAACTGGGCAAGCACATATTTATTCACTTTATAAAACCAGTTCTTATATTTGCTTCTTAAATGCCAATCAATCAAGTTGCAATACCTTCTATTCAGGCATGCAATTGAAAATTTAGGGGAAAAAAACGAGGAAATTCCAAACCACAAAAGACTTTGTACAGTGTTTTTCAATTTGTAATGGCATTCATGAGAAGTAAAAAACGAGGAAATAAGCTGATCCGAGGCAAAGTTGCATGCCTGTCTATTGTACGTACCCCCTACTGTATATTATATCTAATGGTTGAGTGGTTAAGCCCAGTGGTTGACTGATTACCACATCTGCAGGTAAAAGTCTGACCTGAGTAAGCTTGTGAATTTTCTTGCAAGCTTTCGGACAGCACTAAGCATACAGTGCTTATGATATTATTATGTTTGTGACTGGCAAATCCGGCACTTGATTAACACTGACTAAGCAATTGCTAAAACTCACCAAACTGTTGTATGGCGCGGTCTGCACTCCATGGAAGCTCCAGCGTGATGTGGACTCGACGTCGCTGGTTGGGTACCCGCTTGTCAGCTTGCAGGGAGATCCCCGAACTGGCTGCCTCTGAGATGATGGCTACTTGCTGTTGGTGAGGTCAGAGTTCAAGGGTCAAGAGGAAAAGTCACAGTGCAATGAACAAATGTAATATGGGCCCCGTGCGCCAAAAAACAAATGGCACGTTTGTAACTTTGTACCACTTTTGAGAGCTCCGTGGATGGGACACACAGGGTGTGCATACTGTGCTGTACTGGTTCGCACATGAAGTACGCACCACTTCCTGAATGAGCTAAAGCTTTTAGCCACAGCGTCTTCATGAAGTACGCACCACTTCCTGAATGAGCTGAAGCTTTTAGCCACAGCGTCTTCATGAAGTACGCACCACTTCCTGAATGAGCTAAAGCTTTTAGCCACAGCGTCTTCATGAAGTACGCACCACTTCCTGAATGAGCTGAAGCTTTTAGCCACAGCGTCTTCATGAAGTACGCACCACTTCCTGAATGAGCTGAAGCTTTTAGCCACAGCGTCTTCATGAAGTACGCACCACTTCCTGAATGAGCTGAAGCTTTTAGCCACAGCGTCTTCATGAAGTACGCACCACTTCCTGAATGAGCTGAAGCTTTTAGCCACAGCGTCTTCATGAAGTACGCACCACTTCCTGAATGAGCTAAAGCTTTTAGCCACAGCGTCTTCATGAAGTACGCACCACTTCCTGAATGAGCTAAAGCTTTTAGCCACAGCGTCTTCATGTGAGCGTCAGGCGACGTTGGCGCACGAATACTTGCAATGGTCTTCCAGACTAATCCCCGCCCCCCACTAACTTTGGATCATTCAAAATTTGCTGTGGATGGACTGGGAACCAGTCTAGGTCTCCCCCATCTCTCCTTTTCTGGCCGCTGAAGGAGTTCTTGTGCATGGAGCCCATAGTAGAACGACCATCACTATTCAGAACATTGCTTTTTGTTTCCAAATTTAAGCAAAAGTATAAAGAACATTTCGAAATTTCTGGGAAAAGACATTTCATTTTGTCTATTTCCTTCAATTAATACCTAACATGTTTAAAGTACATTTTGCCATCAAAAATACTTGCAAAAAATGCCTCTCTCTGTATTTCTCCTTGTACTTTTCCTATTTTTAAAAAAATTAATGAGAGTTCTTGGAACACAACCAAACCACCAAGATTGAAATCAGTACTGGCAGGGTTTGACCTTAACAGAAACAGACTATGAATTCGCGGGCACTTTCAATAGCCGCATGTTTATTCTTTTATAAAGTGTCTCATACACAACATAGAGCCTGAAAGTTGACCCCTAGTGGAATGCTTCAGGGCCCCTCCAATAGGAAAATTAGTGTTCAATTGATACATATTGATACAAGTTTGCTTTCTGAACTTAATGATATATTTCTTCCTGTCCTTTCATCTTTACCGTATCCCAATAATTTTCCGACTCGCCAGCCGGGCTACTTAAGGAATAGTTTGACCAGTCCGCCCCTGTTTTGACCAACATTTGGCTATTCAAAACTTCACTAATTTCGAACCCTGTTTCCTGGCTCCCTGCTGCTACAATGACGATGGCTGCAATGATAATGCAGGGATTAGGAACCAGTCTAAATTACTGGGCCTACAATGATGATGAGGCCGGTAACAATGCAGTCACGACGCAGCCTATACTCCCAGAATGCACCTCACCTTGTCGCCATCCATGAATCTCTTCTTCTCCGTCAGGTTCAGGATTTCCAGAGGAATGTCGTACTCGCTGCGCGATTCGTAGCGTACGTAGCCGTCGTCGTTGCTCACTACGCGACCTTTGCGACCCGTCATCTAAAAAAAAAGGGACAAATAAGGAATTACTACAGAATCAAAAGAAACTGAACCCTGATAAAATAAAACTAAATAATTCTAATAAGATCGAGATTCAAAAGATCCAGACTCTTCAATACCCTCAAGAAACCAATTATGACTTTGCAGAAGAATTATATTTTGACAGTTGAAGATTAGCTACAACACTTGCAGTAAAGAATCTAGCCCATGGACACAAACGTCCACACAAAATACTAACAATTTACCACAGCCACGTTCTCAGGCCCACCCAGCTCATCAATGAGCTCATCAAAGGTGTTGTTGGGAAGGAACAAGCTTGATATGAATCAATTGCAGTAAAGCATCTAGCTCATGGACACAACAAAACTAACAAATAATTTACCTCGGCCACGTTCTCAGGCCCACCCAGCTCATCAATGAGCTCATCAAAGGTGTTGTTGGGAAGGAACAAGCTTGATATGAATCAATTGCAGTAAAGCATCTAGCTCATGGACACCAAGCTAACAAATAATTTACCTCGGCCACGTTCTCAGGCCCACCCAGCTCATCAATGAGCTCATCAAGGGTGTTGTTGGGTAGGAACAAGCTTGATATGAATCAATTGCAGTAAAGCATCTAGCCCATGGACACAAAGCTAACAAATAATTTACCTTGGCCACGTTCTCAGGCCCACCCAGCTCATCAATGAGCTCATCCAGGGTGTTGTTAGGAAGGAACAAGCTTGATATGAATCAATTACAGTAAAGTATCTAGCCCATGGACACAAAGCTCACAAATAATTTACCTCGGCCACGTTCTCAGGCCCACCCAGCTCATCAATGAGCTCATCCAGGGTGTTGTTAGGAAGGAACAAGCTTGATATGAATCAATTGCAGTAAAGCATCTAGCCCATGGACACAAAGCTAACAAATACTTTACCTCGGCCACGTTCTCAGGCCCACCCAGCTCATCAATGAGCTCATCCAGGGTGTTGTTGGGAAGGACTGAACCGATCTCCTCACACATGTCGAGGAGTTCTTGCTTCATCAGGATGGCCCTCTCGTAGGCGTCCATTCCCGGCAGAAGCATGGAGTTGGTTGCTGCAAGAAAAATAAATTAAACAGTTTTTAACAAAATGGGAGGAGATTGATGGGTATTAATTGCAGTTTGGAATTTCGGCAAGCTTGGTGGTAAAGTGGTCAGACATCCCCACTAGTATATCAGAGGCTGTGAGTTTGAGTCTCGTCCAAGTAAAGCTTGCAAGTTTTTCAGACAACACTGAGTATATCATGTATATAAAATCACTTAGGAGAACGGGTACAGCCCAATCAGAATATCGCAAGTGTAACCTTTTTTCGAGGCCGATCCTTATGTTTTGTATTCTTATTCTTGTAGAAGCTGTTTATTTTCAGTTCAAGAAATGCTTGGTTTCTGGAATGTATTTGTTTCTATGAAACAATAGCATTTTTACATTTTTTCATAATGACTCATGACCTGCATTGACCCCTAGATGACCTTTGACCTCAAATTTCTGAAGAGTTGTCATCAATCCCCAACCAAGTTATATCAAAATCCATCAAATTCTGTAGACAAAGAAACATTTGAACAATGACATCTAATGACCCCTACATGACCTTTGACCTCAGTAATCCGTTGAAGAATTGTGTCTTCCCATCCAAAGGTCACTGCATTCCTGTTTCATCAAAATCCACGAAAGCATGTAGAAGTTATACATTTTTGTCAAAAACTGAACTGAAACTTTAAAGCTATAGTCCATCATTTGCAGCCATCCGAAAAGTAGCTGGCGTAATTATTGTTGAAAAACATACTTGGTTGAAAGATAGTAAGGGGACTAAACTCCCTGTGAAATTATTCTTTCTGGCAAGCTGTCATTTTGAAGTAATCAACGAAAGAAGGCCTTTCCAACGGTGCGTCTTAAGACGCACCGTAGGAAAATTTAAATTAGTTGTTCGTTTTGTTATTCGGCGCAGCGCGCACAAGCATTGGAACGACGCACAGGCGCGCGCGGTTGCTATAATTCGTTGGATCAGTGCGCAACATCGCGTAAAGCTGCAATTCAAAACAATTCGAAACATGATTTAGCAACTTTTGATTTTAAATTGAGATCCTAGAATGCTGTTTTTCTCGGAATATGAAGCTGAAGCTGAGCTGAAACTTCATCAAGTAAGTTGTTCAGTATCCTTCATTAGATTTTGAACACTTTTGTTGCTTCAAACGAACAAAATGCACTAATTACAAAGGATGGACTATAGCTTTAACATACATACGGGGCTACGGTCACAAAGAATTTAGGGCTGGTAAGTGTCTCTCAAAGCTTCATTTAGGCGACACAAACATGAGCTTCTTCACTTGCCTGCAGGTATTGATGACATGGTGGCCAGGGTGTTGGGCAGTCTGGGTTTCGTCAGGATGCCTGCCGCATAGAGGGTGCTGTTCATCTTCCCTTCCAGGTTACGCATCATCGGCAGGTTCTTATCTTCGGCTTTCTTTTTCTTCTTCTTCTTCTTGGTCTTCTCTTCTTTGACTTTGGATTTGCGAGTCACCCAGGGATCTGTGAGAATATCAAAGTTGCACACCGTTGATGCAAACAAAAAACTTTTCAAATTTCCTTGACCACAGAGAGTTTTAATATACAGTAAAAAAAAACTCCGGCTAAGTCGGCACTCTCGGGACCCGAGAATTTGTGACGACTTACGCGCATGCCGACATCTGCTGTAAGTCGTCATTTTGACGACTTACATGAATGGCCTTTTTGCACACAGGACTCAGCGCACTAGTTGGCTTTGATTTACCCTGGTTTATCTCCTTAACCCTAACAACCCTGAGCCCATCAAGCTCCAACAGCGGGTTTTGCTTGATTTTGGCAGGGTTGGTACCGAACACTGGCCAGTTGGTGTTGGACTTTGATTGACTGGGTACCAAAGGCCCAGGGAGACCCTGTTGAATTTTGTGAGGTTCGGGGCAGAAGGGCATGAGATTTGTGAACACGGAGTTTGAGGGAGTTCACTGGCATTTCTTCGTGGGTATGCTCACCCGCGGTCCTCAGCACAGTTTGTGGTCAAATGTGCATGTACATATTGCTTTATTTTGTTAGGTTTGGTACCATCCCTATCCAATCACTCGACAATGCATAGGCCCATCCATACCAAGTCAATCATACTCCAACAGTTGGAGTTTGGCAGGTTTAGTACTGTTCCCCGTACAAGGCCTGTTGGAGTTTGGCAGTTTTGGTACCAGTGCTTACAGACCTGTATGCAGCTGTTGAAATTTGTTAGGTTTGGTATACTTTCTAGTGCAAGAGCCTAGGGGGTTAGGGTTAATGCTTGGGTTGAATACAGCAATTTAATCCTCAAATTTTATCATCACGTTTGGGATATGGATAGTAGAGACCACTTGTACAAAATAGTAATAGGTACCTTCACAGTTTACCACACATGCATTGACTGCATCATTGCACTTGCAGGGTATTTACTGCATCATTCAATAAGACGACCCCAAAAATGGACAGAGCGCATGCGTACAGACTAGAGGGGGTACTGGTATTAATATGCTCACACGATGCATGCAGTAGGAAACCCTTTTGGCTGGGCTGTGCAGCGACACCGATGCATCGATCACGGGCGTGCCGTGCCAAACAATATTTCACTTGACACATCTTGCCAACCGCAGTACAGAAAGTCGATGCATATGCATGATTAATTCAATGCCGACTTACACAAAGGATTTTGTTACCCTTTTTATGGAAGGGGGACCGAGAGTAACACAACGTCTTTAGCGAAATGGCGACTTATAAAAGCCGACTTAGAAATAAGAAAATCAATGGAAGTACATTACCGACAATAAAGACTTTAGTCAGATGGCCGACTTGAGCGATTTGACGAGTTGTACGATGTCGACTTGGCCAGAGTTTACTGTAGATTTCTCTCATAGGACACTATCTTCAGAGGAAAACTACAAGTGTGTGTTCAACGCCATCAGGTGCGTGTGCACGCAGTGTGCAAAATGTTCTAAATATGCGCACGTGTTGCTCGAAATTTCTTCGTAAAACAGTGCAGCCGATGCGCGTCACGAAAACTTGATGCCCAAACTGCTAATGCATTAGCTGTAGGAAGTGATGTCATTTGCAAAGAGACCTATTGTCAAGTAAACCCAGAGCCCAATTGTGAAGCGCAAAATACAATATAATTTGTACAATAATATTACTAAGCAAACTGTTGTCCCGAACAAATTCTGTTGAGAACCATCACCAATTTTGACATGTCGATAAACGTGATTTTTAAACAGCCTTGACTTATCAACGGAATATCCTATTGAAGTGCAACAAACAGTATTGTAAGGAGAAATTTCAACCTCTTTACTAACACCCGCAAGCCCTCATTTTCATGAGAAAAGAGATTCTTTTGTGGGGAAGAAATCTCAAATCTACATTGTTGAGCTGCAGAAAACTTGAAACGTCCTGCAGATACAATGTGTGTGGATTTATACACTACTTGTACACTTCTTGCTGGGAAGCTGAATCGGGTTTCATCTGGTGACAAAATGCAACAAAGTTGGAACGAGATCCCTACTAAGAACCATAGCATAGCTGAAAGGAGTACCCTGCTGAAAGCAACAAAATGCACCAAGATGCAACAGTGGATTTTTTTGGCAATGTGCAGTGTACTGCATAAACCAGCCTCAGCACTACACTGTTTAAATAGTGTGTCCTGATGACAGTAATATTAATGTGGTGCTTATATAGCGCTTTATACCAAAGGTCTCAAAGCGCTTCATGATTATTACCCCTGTTCATCAGGCAATGAGACCAGTTTTTCCAGCAGCTCAAGATCAGCGCATTCTGGTCTCTACAGGTACATTCTGGACTTCACAGGTACCCTTTTATACTCCTGGGTGGAGAGAGGCAATTGTAGTAAAGTCTCTTGCCCAAGAACACAAGCACCATGTTCCTTGTCAGGGTTTGAACCCACGTACCACTGCACGAGAGTCAAACACCATAACCATGGGACCGCAGTGCTTCACATATTTGCGTCGACTGCTAAATCCAAAAGTATATGGTAACTTTAAGCATTGATGCATCATTTGTTACATTTAGCAGGGTTACGATTAACCCTTTCATTACCACATTGTTTATTGACTTGGCTCTCCCCAGGACCAAATTGTTTGCTCAGTCATGCGCAAATCACTAGAGCGTGAACAAAATGACCACAAGTCCAAAACTCACTTTTTTCAACCCAGATTTTCACTGCCAAGGAGTGATTTAAATCATAGGTGTTGTGTGTAAAGTTTGTTTCTCGAACCTTCCTCTTTCATGTGATGTAAAAATGAAGTCCATATGTGTAAATATAAGAAAGTTATGCCTGTTTGTTCATCTGGTTCCATTTATCAAACTGCAAGCCATTTCACTACATGACCGAATGGCACTCCATACCTCAATTTGTGAGTGGATACTTCTAAAGCACTTTTCTCATTTTTTTGTAATGGCAACACTATGAATAAACTACACCATTAGAACGATCCGAAAACACTCTTTCAGCTGGTATATGGTTGATGTATGGGCGGCCAAACATGTCAAAATGCCGCTTTTCTGAAAAGTAGTGAATATATCTGTGTTGAGGGTGTTCTGTGTGGTTTCCTGGTTGACTAAAGTCGCCCATGGGAACCAGCAGGGGGGTTCTTCTTGTCGACAAAAGTCGCCCATGGTAAGGAAAGGAGTAAACAAGATTCAGAAGGAATAAAGTTCAGACTTTACTCAACGTACCGTCATCAGAGTTGTCCCTGAATGGATTGAAGTCGTCCTCGTCATTGGAGGACCCCTTGGAGGACACATCGTCATCGTCGCTGTCGCTGTCACTGTCACTGGAGGACAGTAAGATGACGTCGCTGTCGTCACTCTCGCCCGTGTTGTTGCTGTTGCTATTGCTGTTGCCGTTGATGGGACTGTTCTCTCGGCTGTCCTCTTCCCACCAGTGCTTGGGCTGCTTGGACTTGAGGCCGTTGGTCAGTTTGTCTGGAGGAAAAAGACAAAGACCAAAAGATGTTCAAGACTTTGAAGATGATGCCATCTGCACCTGTTAGCTTCTGTACAAACGCCTGGTGTGGCTATCCCGTACAGTTAGCACAATGCAAGGAGTCAGCGCAAACTAGTTTTTTAGTACATTTATGTAGATCAGCCAGTTCAATATTTAAAGAGGTTGTGGAATGCTCGAAGACATTACCGTCATTTTTGGGGTATATGTAGCCTAAGGTGTTATGAAATAAAAACGACTATTGTTTCTGTCATGAAATGAGTACAAAGGGTACTTTTGAGAGCTATTTTTCAGGTCCTGTTTCGACCCGAACGTGCAATTTGTGTAAAAGTCGTCGTTGCGGCCAGCAAACAAAACACAGTAAATCGTGAGGTAATAAACAGGACTCGTTTATGCTACTCTACATCGGGAGTCCTGTTTATTACGTCACGATTTCCTGTTTTTTATTTGCTGCCCGCAACGACGACTTTTACACAAATTGCACGTTCGGGTCGAAACAGGCATGAGAGGACTTGAAAAACAGCTCTCAAAAATACCTTTTGTACTCATTTTATGACAGAAACAATAGTCATTTTTATTTCATCACACCTTAGGCTACATATACCCGAAAAATGACGAAAATGTCTTTGAGCATTCCACAACCTCTTTAATAGGTGGTTCTTGAAGTTGTCTATAAACGTTGGGGCACAACGGGCCACCTCGGGTAGCAAATTCCAAGCAGGAAGTGTTTTGGGGTACAAGGACTTGCTGAGATGTGCTTGTTAATAGATTTCCCAGTACTTTGACATGTTTTTGGCCTTAGTTGGTTGTGGTCAATGAGATGATGAGTGACGTTGCTGGGCATGCGGCCGTGGGGTGTCTTTGTAGATGAGGTGTGAACGAGCTCTTGTATGTCTGTTTTCAAGGGTGTCCCACTCTAGTTGAGTGAGCATTTATTGCATAAAAACACCTTCCTTTTGGGTGGTCTAGTCACTTTGGGTCTGAGCAATGCCATGCATTGGTGCACACTTTTTACATTTCAGCCATTTCTGACGCATATACATACAGGGTGAGGCAAAAAGTGACCCAGAGTAAGAGTTTGTTTTTGTCAAAAAGCAATCAAATTTGATACATCAATGAAGCATGTGTTAAAAGAGCATGTTCTTGCACTCAACTGAAGGAAAAAAGAATTACTGAAATTGATCCATGCTATCAGCAGTTATGCAAATAAAAAGAACCTATTTTTATAGCTGTCCATGGAATGCCATTGGAAGCTAATGAGCTGAGTGAGAATTGGCCTATCGCCGTTTGCGAGTTAGCCACGTCCCTTAGACAACACTATGGAATTTTGTATGTTTATTTTCGTTTGTCTCAGATTTTGCGCGTTCCATGTCCACTTGTGTATCAGGTAATTGGACAATATTTCACAAGCTGTGTTGACACGATCCCACCGCGATAGGTTAATTACAAATTACACACAGGCTTTCAAAAACAAACAAGTTTTAATCGTTTGAGTCAAGACTACATGTAAAACATTATTTTTACTGTCAGACTTTGTGTTTTGAATATGAGGAGCATGTCAACTCTTGGTTTTTTTTCTCTGAAATATTGATGGCGATTTTTGTCTTGTTTTCCTTTGCAAGTTTTCGTTCGATCATGGAGGTGGGAAAACGACCATGTCTCATTGTATTTAATGGGAGTTCATAAGTTCGTAGAACGGTAAACTATCAGGGGTAGACAGCTGCTTTTTTTTAATTTTTATTTAAGTAAACATAACTTGGGAAATAAATAAAGTATGCAAATTACGGGACAAAAAGGGGACCTTTTTTGGACTTACCCTCTACCAGAAGAAGAAAGACAGAATATGAGGGGTTTTAAATCTAATAACTGGAAATTTAGAATACTGTGCCAGTGTGGATCACATCTGAGCATGAATGCATAATGAAAATGGCACCTCAAAATATGGGTTGCTGTGGTCCAATGGTTACGGTGTTCGACTAGTGTGCCGTGGAACATGGGTTCAAATC